TGATATGGCTCTCAAGTCGTACCTAGCCTGTAACTGTTACCTGAAAATGTCCTCAAAAGTATAGGCTGGCTGTATGTTGTTGACTACATTGCTAATCGAGTGCCCATTAAAATAAAATAAAAAAGTAAAGATCCATTTTTACGCCTTTAGGCGCATCGGGTATATAGGAAGAGAACCCATATTTTTACAGATCAATTGGCATTAGGTGGGTAATGTGGTCAGCATTACGCCGTCTGTCTTTACTTTCCCAGGACATCCATCCTGGTACCCACTTTAAGCTGGGTCGACCTGCGACGCCTCATACCATGATAAAAATCAGCACAGCCAGCGGTGGGTTTCGACCGCGGTACATCGGAATTACGAGTGGGACTCTCAGCGCCTAAGCCACGGGCGCTGCAATTGAGTGCCCATTGGTCAATACAAAATATGATTCCTTAAATTTTTCCATACCAAACAACTCTCCATTAATTTCTTAATGTTTCTAAAGTTAATAAACATTCTTCCTGTCTTCTGCCACAGACAGTAATTATATTATCTCTTTTTAAATGATTTATCAGTTTGACCATTTATTATTTAGGGCAGGACTATTTAATTAATTTTACTCCGGAGCAAAAATTTTGAAAATAGGGATCGCCACGGGCCAGAAGTCCCAGCGTAAGTTAGTTGCGTATCCTTTACAGGACGTTGCAGAATCAACCCCAACAGCTCCTGGCTGTGTGGTTTTTCTAGTCAAATTTACGTCCAGTAGTTTGCCATTGCTCCCTGGACGGTCGGCTTTCTTGATACCACTGTCGAAACCAACGCAAGGCACATGGTCCGCAGCTGGGTTCAAACCCGGCATTACGAAGCGTTCGCATCGACAGAGCCGACAGTCCCAGCGCAGAAAGACCATTAATACAATAGAGATCATTAATACAATAGAACTCGCAGTGATTAGTGGGCCACTTGCTTGGTTAGTTGAATAGCCCTAAGGCGGTTCGTTGCCACCTGTTTTAAGTCATGGATGTTTCCTAGACCTTTGGTTGAGCTTTCCCTTATGATGGTTCTACGCAGTTTCTCTAGTCTTTCACAGGAGTCCGGTGTTTGTCTAACGCTATCCAGCGAGGTGACGATTGTGTTGTAGTGAAAATCTTCTAAATACACATTATGCCACACATACACACACACAAAAGTTGCATAAGAAACTTGTAAAGAAAATGTACTGATCGGCACTCAGCCAAGGCTGAAGATTTAATTCAGCGAGTATGTGATCAAGGCGAGATCGGTCACAGAAAAGAATGGATGAATACACCAGTAGACCTGCGCGGCATGTCATCACACTGGGAAGGTACTGCATGGATCAGATTTTTGCGGCCGTAGACACAGGGGTAAAGGAACTGATAGATCAGCATTCACATCCAGAAGACATCATAATCTACGCAGATGGATCCGTGAAGCGCCGATCAAAGTCAGCATGGGCATACACAGTGCAAAGAATGTAGAAAATATTACAAGAGGACAGCGGCCCTTACCAGGCAACCACTTCAAGCATGACCATGCAGATTGCCGCTACTTCTAGAGCACTAGCATGGGCATCATAACAAACAGTAATTGTATCAGACTCCATGAACATGCTTCAGAAGATAGCAACAGCGGTTTGAGCTCTGAATGGGTAGAACTCATTCAAAAATCGCACTTAACCTCCCTCACCTGGATCTACACACCTGGTCATGCGGGTAATGAGTGAGCTGACCAACTGGCAAGTAATGCACCAACGCATGTAGGAAGAAGCATGGACAAGGTAGATATAGTCAACGCTGTAGGGACCGGACCAGTGGATACTAACAAATCTGACACTAACACGACTGCGTTACATGGGAGTAAATCACGATGAAGCACGTCTATGCCGCCTTCGAGGACGACGTAGGAGACATTAAAACCAACTTCTCATAGGAACAATTAATAGAAGTACCTTGGATTGGTTGCTGCATCTGAGGACTGAGCACGCGTGGGAATGCCCAGTGACGTCGATTATGATAACATAACACTGTACCGAAATCTGGGGTAGTTTGGCCATGTTAAACGTTGTGTGGACCTGGGGAGATGGAGGGTACAGCTTTACAAAGAAAAATACTCACATAGTGCATGGCCTGCGCATAGATGAAAATCTGTTTATTATAGCACTCTGTTCTGCTTAGATCAGGTCAAGACGTACACGAGGGGATCGGCAGATGTTGTCAACATTGTACAGGTGAAGAGCAGTTTGAATACCAAACATTTTGTGTTTTTCGTTGGCACAGGAGCGGAGCAAATATGGGGTGACCCGTCTGCTATGACGCTGAAACTAAGATTACGAGATTACCAGTGTTACAAAAAGACGAGGCAGAGACAAAACTATGCAAATGTGGATACAAGACAGAAATTGCACTGGCTACGAACGAAATCATAGTGGGCTGGATACATTGCTATGGAAAAGGATACTTTCGGAGTGACGTGACGAGATCTACGTCCTGTAAAGATCCTGCTGATTGATGTGATGATGTCTAAGAAAGGCTGTTGGAGTGACCAGAAGAGATCAAATCGGGAATGAAGTCATACGAGATAAAGTCGGCACAGAACCAATTCTAAATAAATTACATAGAAAGACTGCAAATCAAATGGTTTGCCCACATGGAGAGAATGATTTCTGATACTATATCATTTAAGGCATATACCAAAAGAGGAGAGGGACTTAGAGAAAGAGGTAGACCAAGAACAAAATGGAAGAATAATATGAGCGAAACTCTACAGTACCACGATGTGTGTTTGGTCGAAGCAGTCAGAAGAGCACGAAGCAGGAGCTTAAATCTCTCTCGACACCCGAAGCAGTAAACAAGGTCGTAAAGAAGATGATGGATCATAAGTTTGTCTACTACTTTATCTGTTTTATTATCAGTTTATTTTTATCATTAATTGCTTTCTTTAATGTAGTTTGCAATCATCATCATCATCAGGTGCCTTGCCGACTGGCGTGGGCGATCATGCCTCTCCATAATCTGCGATCTCCTGCAGCATGTATCAGTTCGTGTGCCGACACACCTCCATGCCATGCAACAATACTGTCAAGCATCTTCTCTCGTTGTCTTCCTCTATCTCTCCTTCCACATATCTTTCCAGTGGTCACAACATGTTCTATTTTCCCTCTTCTCATAACATGGCCGAAAAATGATGACTGTCTCCTTTTGATGTCTGTGATAAGTAGTCTTCGGGCTTCCGCCTCTTTCAAAACCTCTTGATTGCTCTTTTTGGCTTTTAAGCATTCTTCTGTAAAACCACATCTCCGAGGCCTCCAGAAATTGTTTGGCCTGCCTACCGATTGTCCAGGATTCACAGCTATATGTTAAAACTGGATGTGTGTAGCAAGCAAGAATTCTTTTTCTAACTTGCAATGACAAGGATATATTGCACAAGATGTTTTTCATTTTATAAAATGCAGTTTTTGCCTGTCCTATTCTATTTCTTATCTCAGTTATGCATCTTCCATCTGATGTTATCCACGTGCCCAGATACTTAAATTTCTGTACTTGTCCTAAAATAACCCCATCAACTTTTATTACACACCTAGGAATAATTAGTTTCTTTGATACCACCATTACTTGTCTTCAAATTATTAAAACTGAGGCCCATTCTTCCACTTTCCAACACCACAATGTCTATCATTTCCTGTAGTTCTTTCTGATTTATTGCTATCAAGACTGTGTCATCAGCATAACGCAAATTGTTTATATTGTGCCCACCAAAGAGAGTTTGCAATAGGATTTAGAATAAAAAATAGTAAAATAAAGTGAAACTAAAAGTAAGTTCTGGAAACGAGTTCTTCTAGTGCTACATTTAAAAACATCCAGACCAGGATTGCCATATTGGCATTTTTTATGCCAGATTCCACAAATCTGGCATGTTTAAAATTGAACTGGCATACGATAATGACCTGGCACATTTTGGCATATTTGGGGTTTTCCTGGCAATGTTGACCTACAATTAACATCTTTATTTCAGTTTGACTTTGTTGTGATGTCCTGCTACGGACTAACTGAGATTCGCCCCATTTCTTATTGTATTTGTTGTCTTCCTAAACGGATAGTGACTTCGATAAATCAAGGCCCTCTGTAATTTATGTTTGCCAATGATATCAAGTTATTCAGACTGTTAGGAAACTACTTGAGGACAGAACATAGAGAGGATATAGACCTAGTTCTATATGAGATAGATTTTATTACTTTCACCAATGGCCACGTCACCCCCCCCCCCCTCCTTCCCCAAATGGAAAGCATCTTATGACATTGCAAGTATAATAGTAACTGGAAGAAAACAAACTCACGGCTCAAAAGATCTTCAGACGGATCAGAGGCAGCATATTGTAAACTGTGTCAAAAAACCAGTCACAGCTTATTACAACAATGACTCCTAGGCAAAGTAATGATGAAGTTAATTAAAGGCAGCAGAGTTGCAACTTGTTGTAGGCATGACCTGCCATTGTGGAACACGCACAAATGATCATCTAAGTGAAATCATGAGAGCTCATGGCCGGGGGAGTACACTGGTGCACGAACAGATGCATAGAACTAAATGTTCATGCCTAAAAAAAATATTATATCGCCTGCGCTTAAGGATGACCTTATTGATGATTTTCGGAACAAGAAGTATGCCATCATTTTAGATGACTTCATCCCATCTGAGAAAATGCTTAAAGATTTTACATTCATAAAGGTTTACGCTGTATCTTCCACTGGTTCCAGTGAGGATGACAGTGAAGAATTTAATCTAGAGCTTTTAATGTGAAGTGAGTACAATGTTACACTTTGTTTGGCATTTTCTGGCATATTTTGGAAAATGGTTTGGCATAAAATAAAGTTTTTTTAATCTGGCAACCCTGATCCAGACATGCGCACTGGGCATCATCCGCAGCGTGTTGTGATTGACATTTTGATATCCGTTTTGTAATAGTAATATATTTTCTGCCTGAATCTTGTGTTTACCCCGACATGGATACATCTTCTAATGCAACGTAAGTATATATATTTCATGTGTCAACATTGTACAGGTGAAGAGCAGTTTGAATACCAAAGTTATGTCTTTATTTTTAGTTTATTTTGATGTTTGTAGTAGTAGTTTTTCTGAAGTGTGCTAGCTATGGTATGGTTCTGAAACTGAAAGCTGGTGACTTGAGAACTTGAGACCATTTGTCATTTGAAGTATGATACAGTAACTTTGACGTATGTGTCTTTTATATTGTAGAGTATCCTCCTATCTTTGCATCTAATATGTTAGTGCCAATCAATTCATTACAGTTGTCAATATGCTGAAACTGAATCGGTGATTCTCTCGTCTCTGACGGAGATGGCGACTGCTGGCTCTACTGAAGCAGTGTCTCTGTGTTAAACACAGCAGGTGTACCAGTCACATGACTTCTCATTCCTGGTGACAGTCAACGCAGCTACGATTTTGAAAAGAGCCCAGCCATAACTATTCATTCTGTATTGTAAACACCGAACTGTGATCACAAATCGTATCTATTTGCACATTTAGTCTGAACTGAGTTTTAGTAATTTTCTACCCATGTTAAAAGTAATAAAAGCACAGTCAGTGAAAGTATTTTCGAAAGTGCCGTTGAACTGAATGAAACTGAAAGTTGTGATTATTACCTGTGAATACTGAATGATTGAACACCTAAGGCCATAACATTATTATTGTTTTGAAAAAAAAAAAACTAAAAATGTTAGTAAAATATTACAATTTGATAAATAAATTGACATGTATAATAATGAATAATGTGTGATTGTTATGTTGTCTAGTGCATCCAGTTATATCTACTACTGTCCTCTAAATCTATGAGTGCCAGTCAGCTCAGCTTTACTTCACTTACAGTACTGTCCAAACCACTAGCTCCGGTTCTTACCTTGGAATACATATGGTAGCATTTACTTTTTTTTAAAGTAGCGGTGGGTACATTGGTTACCATGAGTTGTTGCTACATATATACATAAACTGAAAGAAAGGGACATCTAAAAAGTTTCCTGAATTAAGAGTCGGCACTTTCTCTTTGAGTCCCAAGGTGGTTAGCATCAGAGGCCTAATGGGTAGTCAAGAGAGTCGTAAAATCGGCGCATGTTGCATTCACTGGGCCTCTAGGTAGGAACGTTTGATGCGTTCCTTACGACTCAAAGAGTTAACAAATGCATTGTGATAAGTTTAACAAAAATCATTTAAAATACATCACATAAATAATGTTTTAAAAAACAAAAATTATTTCTCATATAGTTGATTGTATACTCAATCAGTTGAGTGCCACCTCCGTAATAAAGGTTGACTGCAGTGGATCTCCAACTCTCATTGTCTCCTAAATTGGTAGCACACTATCTCAGACTGCCACCTGTCCATCTTGTGATGTTGTCCTACCACTTGTATCGTTTGCTCTTGCTCTCATTTTTAATGTATTGTTTATCTCTTTGAGCTGCAGGGGGTTTAGCATCAGAGGCCCAAGGGGTGGTAAGGCAATTTTTTTAATTTCACAAGTGTAACACATTAAAACAGACCATACTAATTCAACTGCTGCGCAACAAACACATAAATCAAAGTGACCAGAGATTGTTAGGGAATAGTAATAAAATACTGCTACAACAAATAATTGTGTTAGTAATTAAATATTAGTAAATATACATACAGTGTGTTTACAGAAATGAATAAAATGAAATAATATTTTTACACTTACCACTATGGTACCTAAAGAGAACATGTTAAAATATATTCAAAATGAATCACAAATCAACTTGAACCACTTAGATTTTGTTATAGAGAATATTTTAAAGCACTATTTTTTGGTAAAGAAAACTAACTTCCCAAAACAAGTTAGTATCTTGACACAAAACAAAGTTAATATAAGACTCATTTTGTCTGTAATTTTGTAGCTATGTTCCTAAATAATAAGGGAAATAGCACTGGAACTGACACCAAAGAAAATGGCTTCTTCACTAATATTTATTCTATTTGTGCCAGTGACTTTGCTGTTGTTGTACCCTTTGCATGAGGTACACATTAGACCTAACTCTCATCAAAGTTTTACTCTATAAATTACTGAAACAAGTCTACTTAGCAAAGTTATTTATCTTAGTTAAGATAAATCTAATAAACATGTGCTTAATCTAAATTTGAGGCTTCTAAAGCCTCAAATCATGTTGGCATGCATGTAGAATACTGCTCGATGGCCATATTGTTTTCAAAACAAACACTTAGTAACTCTGTAAACCTTGCAAATATACAATATTTTTGGCTCTTAAACAAAGTTTTTAAATGATCACACCTGATGTCAGACACAGAGAACTCAGAAGGAAGTTGAAATTACCCATCAGTGGTAAATTTAAAACCTTCACTTGTCACACACTGATTGAGCCGCTGGGTTGAACTTAGCACATGATGCATTCCCTGGGATCAAAGAGTTAACTGGCTTATGGCGATAACCAGGTGTGTGTTTTTTTCCCCTGGAAAGGTGCCAGTACTCAGCGTGAAGTGTTTATTGCAGTAATGTTGGAAACAAATCGTGCCTTAAAATAAAATAAAAAAGGTACTGTTACTACGTACTGCCAGAAGATAGCCCATTTTTATTATGGACTAACTGGCACAAAAACAGGTAGTGTCATCAACATCATGCTAGCCATCTTTACTTCCTAGAAAATGTCCTGGAATGATTATTAGACTGGGTTCCCCTGGGAGGCAGGCAGTTAGTTAAAAAAAAAATTACCCTGGTGCAGAATTGATAGCCAATTAGAAGGAAAACCATTCCCCCGCACTTTGCACCATCTATCAGTGTTCCGCAACCTTATTTCCCCTGCAGCCTACCAAAACGGAATAAGAAAATAACACAGAACTGGTGTTGTTAGCCGCTACACGCTGCAGGATTTACTATGGAGGAGATCCAAGCACTTATGAACTGAATGGTTTTATGTGCAGTGAAGATAATCTGTCGACTAACTAACACCTGGCATGCATTATCTCCTTTTTAATAGCTTGTACTGGACTACAGGTTACTACATATCCATGGGGCGACCTATTATACATGCAGTTGAACAGTGTTTCCGGATTTGTATCTGTTTCATTCTTATCCTTGCCGTGTTAATTCTACAGACTGTATTCGTAGAATAGAAAAACTACCTACCCTACGTTACATGATTAGACTGATCTTTTTTCTTTTGCATTCACCAGCTGTAAACTCGGCGATTACTCCTCCGCTTCTCGACTGTGAGTCTTGCTCCAGAACCTGAGTCTTGTATACACATCTGTTTTACAGATCTGGCTTACTTATATCCAGACTGTTGGTTCCTCGTCTGTCAGGCAGATGCATCCCAACTTTGAAGGAGATTAGATTGATTATTTATGGGGCGTCCCACCTGGACTTTTCCACGGCTCATGGGATGGAGAATACTGCTATAGGTGACAGATTTTTAAAGTGTTTTAGGCCTGTTTTAAGTGTTTGAGACATGTAGAGAGTAACTGATCTACATACAGGGTGTTGCATGAGATTTAATGTACTGATTTGTTGCTAGATTTTAAGAACACATCTTGTTTATAAGCTGTGTTTTGAAATTCCTGTATGATTCATTCATTTCAGACATCTAACGCCTCCGCCTGTGCTTTGGGCACAGAGGAAGGACAGTATCTCGTTGACTGTCCAGCTAGAGAATATTAGCAATCCCAAAATTACACTCGAAAAAAATAGTCTTTATTTCCATGGAAAAGGAGGCACAGGAAATACAGACCATGAGGTTCTGATGGAGTTCTACAAAGAAATAAACCCAGACGTATGTCTCTCTTTAAAAAAAAATTTTTGAATTTTTTTTATTTCAGTGTCATTTGTGTACTGTTTTTGGTAATGAAAATGTGAAAGGTAAAGGGGCCTTTACAGGTCAGTAGGGCGTCGGGCATATGAAGTCATCCGCATATTTTTATAGACCAGTCAGCTCTTGGAAGCTGGAATATTTTGGTCATACCAAGCGCCACGACGGATTGGAAAAAATAATAGCAGAAGGCATGGTACCAGGACGGAGGGGCAGGGGTCGACCAACATGAAGTTGGGCACATAATACAAGTGACTCCTTGAGTATGAAAGTATGTGAGGTGGGAGAGCTGGTGAGAGACCGAGTTTCTGTCAGGCAGACCGTGATGAGAGCGACGTTCTGCAAAAGACCTGCTACATGATGATGAGTCAGCCCTTAGTGGGTGATGTGGTCAGTATTACGCCAACCACTTTTACTTCCCAGGATTTTACTTCATGCAGATTTAAACTCACGACCTTTGGATCTGCAGGCAAGCATTCTATCCTCTACATCATGGTGGCTTCCCCCAATGAAAATATAACCTTATCGTTAAAAATAAAATTCAGTTACAAAATCCAGTGTACAAAGAATTTGGCCTGAGTTAGGTGAGAGTCCAAACTTCATTGTGAGATCAAAGCACAAGAAGAAAAAGAAGAGGCTAAGGAAAACGCAACTTTTCAGACAATGGAGCCGGCTTTTTTTTTTTTTTTTTGAGTTTATTCTTAGGAAGCCAGCCTTATGCAAATATAGACTAGTCTGACATTGATCTCTGGGGGTGCACACTTTGATGTGCTCCACTCCTCTTGACAGAGAACTAGGTACGGTAAATTAACAGGTAAAGGACCTTTTTCATGCTACTCCTCTTGACAGAGAACTAGGTAAATTAACAGGTAAAGGACCTTTTTCATGCTATTCTTCTTGACAGAGAACTAGGTAAATTAATTAACAGGTAAAGGACCTTTTTCATGCCACTCCTCTTGACAGAGAACTAGGTAAATTAACAGGTAAAGGACCTCTTTCATGCCACTCCTCTTGACAGAGAACTAGGTAAATTAACAGGTAAAGGACCTTTTTCATGCCACTCCTCTTGACAGAGAACTAGGTAAATTAACAGGTAAAGGACCTTTTTCATGCCACTGCTCTTGACAGATAACTAGGTAAATTAACAGGTAAAGGGCCTTTTTTCATGTCACTCCTCTTGACAGAGAACTAGGTAAATTAACAGGTAAAGGACCTTTTTTCGTGCCACTCCTCTTGACAGAGAACTAGGTAAATTAATTAACAGGTAAAGGACCTTTTTTCATGCCACTCCTCTTGTCAGAGAACTAGGTAAATTAACAGGTAAAGGACCTTTTTTCATGCCACTCTTGACAGAGAACTAGGTAAATTAACAGGTAAAGGACCTCTCTTCATGCCACTCTTGACAGAGAACTAGGTAAATTAACAGGTAAAGGACCTTTTTTCATACCACTCCTCTTGACAGAGAACTAGGTAAATTAACAGGTAAAGGACCTTTTTTCATACCACTCCTCTTGACAGAGAACTAGGTAAATTAACAGGTAAAGGACCTTTTTTCATACCACTCCTCTTGACAGAGAACTAGGTAAATAAACAGGTAAAGGACCTCTCTTCATGCCACTCCTCTTGACAGAGAACTAGGTAAATTAACAGGTAAAGGACCTCTCTTCATACCTTTGGATCATCGGGCACATAATGCTAGACCTATATTTTTATAGACCTGTCATCATCATTCTTGCTGCTTTTACTTCCCCGGACATAGACATTTTCGAGTGGATCAACCAGGGGAACAGTGTCATATTTTGCCCTGAGATATATTTGACCCTAGACTTTGGTGTCAGCAGGCAGGCTTGAAACCACTGTAGCCCCCCCGCTCTTGAACATAGTGCAAGTTACTAACATGTGTTCATAAATGGTTTACTTTCATAGTTTCCATTTGTCTGTTGTTGGAGATAGAGCAATGTCCTATTTTTTTATTATTTATTTCTAGGTATTTTGAAGCACATAGTGGTTGAATTTTTTACAAATTGTTAGTGGTATATGTCTTATCTGTCGGATGAAATCTTTACCCTCATCATTTGTATCATCTTGTGCATTCAGTTGAAGATGTAATTGTATTGTGCCCATTTACAGCATGGCTGTGATATTTGCGCCTTTTGGCCGACACATCTGACTTCTGTAGGTAATTGTTGACCGCGTTAACATTTCCTTCATGTGTATTAAAGGGACTGCTGATGTCATTATATGGCTGTGAATCCTGGACAATTAGTAAACAAGCCCAACAATTGCTTGAATCCTCGAAGATGTTTTTACAGAATACTTGGAATTCCTTAGGCAGGCCCCCCCCCCCCCCCCCCCCCCCCCCACCCAAAAAAAAGCAGTCCAGATGTTTTGAAAGAGGCAAAGGCTCTAAGACAACCTATCACAAACATCAGAATGAGACGGTCCTCATTTTTTAGAGTGTTTTTAGGGGAGGGAAACGCCCATGCCAGTTGGCAAGACACTTGGTGATGATGATGATGTCATTGTGAACAGGGCTAGTTTTATATATATATTTATGTGTTTCTCTGCCTTTATTTGCCACATATAATATCTTGCAGAGAAGCCTAGGCTGTCATGTTTTCACATGATCACTGTGCAGATCAGTTTTGTTTTTTCCATTTTACCCCGTCCATATGGCTGAGCCATCCAGGTAATAATCTGTTTGGGCTATCCTCTGAATAGCAGTCCCAAATTATCAAGGCTAAGAAAATACCATAACAGGGCCTCAGGCATGTGTAAATCGCGGACCTCTTTCCGGCTACTATACCGCATACCATTGAAAAGCATCTGCAAAGTTAAAGTTACCGCCGAGAGTTTCCCCCGCGTCGCTACGGGCTGGGACTCAAGAGCAGCAGCTACCACATCTCCTGCAGCTTCGTCCATTTTATTTGCTCGTGAGTCCCAGCCATCTAATTTAGCCCCCTCCTTGCATGTGTGGCGCGGGGAATACTCTCGGCGGTGGCGGTATATTGCCGGAAAGAGGTCCGCAGTTTACAAATGACTAAAACCCTGTTAGGGTATTTTCTTAGCCTCAATAATTTAGGACCATTATGCAGAGGATAGCCTCTATTTGCCTTTCTCTTGCTCTCTCCACCCACCCCCCCCCCCCTCCTCATTAATCTTGCTAAATGTCACCAAGTTCTCTAAGTCATTACTACTCATAACATGTCCAAAAAAGTCCTGTCTACGATTTCTCTCTCTCCCTCCCTCCCCATAGAAACTGTCACTTCTAGCAATAAAAAATAAATTGAAATGGTATTTTTAAAAAAGAGGTGATTTGGTCTTACTTGTTACTTTCAATTATGGAGAATCTGCTTACAAATGTTTAAATATTCTCCATCTTGCCTTATTGAAAACATATTTATATTTTATATTAATGAACATTTTACACTCTAATTATTGATAACTGTCTTTTTCTTTATGCACAGAGCTCAAAATATCACATTACTGGCAGAAATGCCACCTTTGTCCTTGCCAAGAAGGAGGGCAGTAGAGAGTATTGGCCACGTCTGCTTAAAGATCCTAAAAAGGTATTGTGTATTTTCCATACCTGATATATTCTTGTTGCCCCTATTGTTGTCTGTCATATTTGATTGTGTTGTATGTATTACTTATTTTCATCCTTTTTTCTGTTATTCCTGTCATTTTAGAAATTTATGGATCTTTATTAGTTATCCTGCCCTCCTCCTTCATAGTTACATACAACTTATAACAGATGTTTAAATAGGAATTTAAAGTGATTTGATTTCCAGCTCCATAGCAGACTGGTCACCCCCTTTTGGCACATTCCTGTGATGTGCCAACAAAAAGCACATAAAATGTCCCTCACTGTTCATTGTGAAACAAATAATAGACTGCAGTGCCAGGTAGTCCAACAAAATACATGTATATTAAATGTATAAGGTAGCAGTCAGAAGTGTCAGCACAAAACAGCCTGTCACTAGAAATGCAGTTAATCATGGATGAAGTTGGTCGATCTTCACATACTGTGCCACAGTTATGTGATGACTGACATGACTTCACATTGTATTTGATTTTCAGCAATATGTTACCCAGTTTTTGTCAACATATCTATGATATGTCTTTGTACTTACTGGAGCTGAAGTTTATTTTGCTGTCGACCCCCACTTCCTGCTCAGCGCCCCTTCTACCCATCATGTATTTCGGATCCTCATTAGTGTGTGGGGGGGAATAGACCTGCTGCCTCTCAATAAAGCGCGTAGTGGAATGCAGTTAATTTCAGTGCTCAAATTGAATGTTTTTGGGCGAAATGCGCAGATATTCTAGCCGTAACTAAATACCATTCCAGCATGCCAACCACCCTTTTAAGCACGAACACAGAAGAAAACGGTCCACTATCCAGGACGTGCTGTATATTTGGAAGTGAAAGGACTGAGTGGTTGGCATCCTGTTGGAATAGTGGGGTTGGGAGAGGGATGATGTTACTAATAAAAGAAATTGCCTGTTATATAAGGGGGCACATCATTATTAATATATGCCTGTGACTGATTAAATTAAGAATTCAGTTCAGCATTATCAGAAAAGATTGCGATAGAAGATGAAGCAGAGGTGCAATAACAACTAAGCACTGTAACTATGTGTCTCAATTCTCTGTGACATCTGCTGAAGGAGATAGATGGGCATGTTCCAAGTACTTTGTAGTTGGTGTAGGATGACAGGTTCTGGCATTACTATTTTCAGGCTAGGTAACTCAGACACAGGTAACTTGAAAAATACCTCAGGTGGGGATTGAATATAGTGATAAACGTGTGCACTATTTACGAGGGTAAGTCACAAATGGTTATGGGATGGCAGGAAAATGTAGTTGGTGGTTTCTGAAGGTGTCATTAGGTGACAGCAACATCGAACTTTGTCTCTGTTCGTTAGGTGGTGCTAGGTGTCGCATGCGCATTTGCAACACAAAAACAAAACGGCCACTGCCCTTATGCAGTGTACCCTCAAAGAACAACGTGCTGTTATGTATTTAGGGGGGGGGGGGCAAAAGGGCTGCCTGCAAAGGACATTCACAAGGATAAAGGAGAAGACATGCTGAATAGGGTTATGACTGGGGATGAGTCATGGGTGCATCAGTACCATCCCAAATCAAAGCATGTTTCAATGCAATAAAAATCCTTCTTTGCTTGCGTTAAAAAACTCAAGGTTACGCCATCAGCAGGGAGTGTTCTGGGATTTTCAAGGAGTTCTTTTAACCAATTAAAAAAAATTAAAAAGAGGTAATAATGTGAATGCTAATTCAAACTGTAAAGTTCTGTCAATGCTTCAGGATGCAATTTGCAGAAAATGTCCAGGCCTGCGGACTAGAGGAGTACTGTCATAACAATGCCAGACTACATATAGTTTGTTTACTCAGGGGAAAATTCACCATCTAGGGTGGAAACTTCTCGAACATCCACCTTGCAGCCTCTACTTAGCTCTTAGCAATTTTAATCTTTTTGGTCCACTGAAAACCCACCTTGGCAGGAGATATTTCGCAAATGATGCAGAAGTTGAATGTGAAATAAAAATTTGGTTCAGAAAACAGAGCATGCAGTTCTATGCAGGTTAGGGAGAACTGATAAAATGATCTGACAAGTGCATCAGTGTTAATGATATTGTGATTTACTTATTGACTTCCCGTCTTACCTTGGCTGTCATGCATCCCTTCATTAGCTGAATAGCTTCTCATACTTTTGATAATTATTGCCTTTCCTGCTTCTCCAGATTTTCTGTTGTATGAATAGTATACATTAGTTTTTGATGCACTTCAGATGAACTAGCTGATTCGGGTACTGCTATTTTTATCCTCAAATTGCATGTTTTTTTTTTTTTCAGTGTTAATGCATGTTTAACATCCTTTGTCAGGTCCATAACTTGAAGACAGACTTTGAGAAATGGAGAGATGAAGATGATTCAGATGCTGATGACAATGAAGATTTTAACCTTGATGAGGTAAGCTTGATTCTGATAGTTTTAGTATTGTGCAATTTGCTGTGAAATGTTTAGAAAACAGTTCATTGGGAAAAAAAAAAAACCAGAAGTGGGAATTAAACTTACTTAAAAATGAATTAAAAGAAATTGTGATTATAGTATTTATCAGTTATAAGTTGTTCGGTATCATTGGTAAAAAGTATGTGGTCAGTGGCATATCTTTGAAAATAATAGTAGTACACACATCTTAGCTAACTGGGAACCTCTGTTGTAAAAGATGACTTGCATTTCAACATTATTTGAGTGCAATTTCTTTAAATTAATTTCAAGTAAGTTTTATTCCCACTTCTGTTTTCTTTCAAAGTCTTTCAATAAAAATAAACAGAATACAGTCCTTGCATTCTAGAGTTAGGGCTTTTTTTTGGTTGGGCACAGGATATATTGGACCCACTTAAATTTGTTCCATGGATTGCCAGATGGAAAACATTTGAGTTATGACTTAAATTATCTTCACAACACTCAGGACACATCCATGGGCGCTCAGATTCCCCTCTCAACATATTCATCAGCGTTGTGCGGTTAATAATACCAGTCCTGTGTTGGTTAACAAGACTTCATGTGCATCTAGTGTGCTTCTCATGCTTGGCTGTGCCGATCTGTACTCCCAATTCACGTATTCTTAGAAGTGATGTGGACACGTTGCTTCCAAAATTCTGTCTTACATTATGCATGGTAGATTATAGTATTACTATTCTTCACACCCCTGTAACACACAGATGCTTTTCTTTATGCGTAGTAACTATTTCTTTGTTTCTGTAAGTCCTTAGCTGTATGAAAGAATCAGCCCATCACACTCCAGGGTGTACCTCAGAACTGGTTTGTTCGCTTCAACCAGTTATCACATTCAGCAGTTGGGTGAACATTGTAGCAGATATCTGTTGCTTGGTAACTAATGTGTAGAACATCATTAGAAGACCTCCTCATGTGGGTTCCGGGGCTCTGTTGTGGGGAAAACAAAAGACCTACTGCCTCGCCAATAGACCTACTGCCTTGCCAATAGACCTACGGCCTCGCCAATAAAGCATGTTGTAAGAGTCGACTAATTAGTAGTTTTCTTTCAAGATGGAGGGGATTTGCACGAGAGGCAAGGAACCAGCAGTGTGCATTTATAAAAATAAGTCACATCTGTTAATTAGATGTGCATGCAACACTCAGGTTCTAAGACAAGTATACAGTCCAGAGATGGGTGAACAACCAGAACTTTTCGCTGGGGATAACAGTCGGTGAACGCGAAGAAAAAGATTAGAACACAATACAAAATGAACAACTGAACAGGTGTATATTACAAAACTTAAAATATTTGAATGAAGCAATTAAATTGTTTTCAATTTTTGAGTGCCTCATTGTCATTTTAATGTGTTGATACATGTGTGATTAGTGTGCAGACATAGAGGATCATAGAAAATAATACTTGAGTGAAATGTTATATTTCATTTCAAATAGATGATGCAGTCAATGGGAGGATTGCAAGGAGCTGGCGCTTCAGATTTAGGGGTAAGTCTAGTTAACAAAAATTGACCTTGGCTTCCATTTCAACCCAGAACAAATTGGCATCTGGTAATCTCCTGAAAAGTTACGATGGCTGGCATAATTTTGACTAAATCGGCCATTGAGAAGTAGGTCTATGAGTCAAGCATCATATGTCCAATGATAGTAGCATGTCCAGTTCTTTCGTAATATCCTACCCCAGATGATTGGGATTGTTTCCTGTGGGCTTCTAGGAATTTCCCTTGGTGTCTGGGTAGTAAGATCGGACGCCCGTATGTATTGTTGCACACATGAAAAATCACTTGGCAGTTGGAAATCGAAAAGAGTAGCCAAGGGGCACTGCCCTGGCAAAATTTGAAGTTGAAAATCTCCTCAAAGTATTTCAGGATCCACGCCGGTGCAAAAGTTTGTGCACTGCGCTGAGATTCTTCAGACAGAGTTTGTGCACTGCGCTGAGATTCTTCAGACAGAGTTTGTGCACTGCGCTGAGATTCTTCAGACAGAGTTTGTGCACTGCGCTGAGATTCTTCAGACAGAGTTTGTGTACTGCGCTGAGATTCTTCAGAGTTAGTGCACTGCGCTGAGATTCTTCAGACAGTTAGTGCACTGCGCTGAGATTCTTCAAAGTTTGTGCACTGCGCTGAGATTCTTCAGAGTTTGTGCACTGTGCTGAGATTCTTCAGACAGAGTTTGTGTGCTGCGCTGAGATTCTTCAGACAGGCTTGAGTTAGAAGTAGAACGGAGCACTTATGGATTGCTAGCCTTGTGCTATGGTGTTGATCGGTTGTATAAACCAAACAAAATCAAATCGGTAAATTAAGCCATGTTTGTTTCTCGAGAGAAAACCCATCTAATTAGTAAGTTTATCAATTTCCAGTCTTGCTAAATGCCTGCGCATGCACAACAGGAATCGATTCTGTTAGCTATGAATTTGTAAACAAACCACCAAAGCAAGCAGCAAAGGTGGCTGTTACGAGGCAGTGGCAATAACTGGGAGCAACAGTGTTAACATGCTGTATATAATGTTATCTATAGATAAATTATTCTTTTGATTAATCAGCGCACCCAGTTTTTTGTTTTTGTTCTTTCAACTGAGGTTGTACAGCTGATTTGAGTTTTGCAGTAAGAAAACGTGAAAATTAAAATGTTGGCATCTGAATTATGTGTTTGGTTTATCGTCACTGCACTTCTGGCATGTCCATAGTTGCTTAGAGTGCATCAGAGTCCTGAGGTGAAGTAGAGTTTCTGTACTGGCTGACAAGACTTTTCATGCATCTGTTGTCCCTCTTTTCTGAACTTTGCTCCCAATTCTTGCATTCTTATCAGCAGTGTGGTCATGCCCCTTTCAAAATCTTCCAGCCATCCTATCTCTCTAAGGGCATCAACAAGGGCCGAATGGTCCATGGGCTGGCTATCTACCCCTACTGCAGACCTGGTTAATTTATCAGCTCTTTCATTGCCAACAACACCCACTGTCTTGTTTTGAGCCTGCCTAGACCCGTCCTATTTCATCTACCTAAGCCATCTAGTTTCTGTTACAGAATACCTTTTTTGTAAATGATCTATCTCGAGGCTATCATGTCAGATTCATTTATTTCTAGTTCCTTACATATTCGGTATGTTCTGTAATATTTTTAGAATATTATGGATCAAGAGAAAGATACTTATCCGAAAGACAAAGGAAATTTTGTAATAAACAGCATTGTTTCAGAACCTGCAATTAATAAGTCATATTTGACAGTAGCTTATAAAGAACATAATAAAAAGCATGTTTCTTGGAAGAAGAGGCAGGAGTTGGCTATATAAAGATAGCCACAAACATGAAACAAAAACATCTTGGACAAAAAATGCATACTGCAGGCAAATGATCAAAGCTTTCCAGCAAGTTTTGATGAGAATAACTTTCTGCAAAAGACCTGCTACAAATTATTCTTCAGAAGTGAACTCTCTAAACCATTTCTACATTTTGTTGAAATTCACTTTAAATATTTTTACAGAATAATTCTGCTTGTCCCTAATTAGCAAAATTTGTATTTATATTACAACAGGAAAATGAGGATAGTGATGATGAAGGTAAGTTACGTGTGTGTGATATCTCTGTAGATGGATACCTAAGAACAAGACCCTTAATTATATTATCTTTGGCTTGCACCGGTATTTCTCTTGGCCAGAAGTTTTGCCTTGAAATGTATTTGGGACAGTCTTGGAGGTTGTGATCTTTTGTCTCAGGTGCCAATCCACATGTGCACATTGCTGATTCACCAATCTTAAATGTTGTATACATAAGGCTGTCAAGTTGATTGTGTCCTGTTCTAAAGCCTAGAATAATGACTTCTTTTGATCTGTCCATACTATGGTAATCATCTTGTGGCAGTTTTGGTTTTTTTTTCTGATTGATTTGATTCTCCTTTTCTGTTTTCTATTTAAATTGTTGTCAGTGCTTGCTATTATATTAAACTGTTCTTGAAATGTCTTAGCATTTTTTTTTTACATTTCTAAGTAATGTCTAATCAAGTGATAATAACATTGTTGTCTAAATCTAAATTGCTCTGAAGTCATTGAATTCTTTATCTTAGCTGTCTGCATATTCTTGATCCCAGCATATATTTATATAAACCCTGAGATTGTCCCCTTGATAGTTGATGCAGAATGATAATATGAACTAGACAGTTAACAATTGTCAAGTTTTTCAGTAGTTCTGTGAACATTAGTTATAGAGCATTATTCTTCTACTTCTGTCCTTTATCCCCCTATGGAGCATAGGCTGTCAACCAACTCACTCCAAGTCGTCCTATCTTTTACTGTTGCATGCAGCTCATCTATGTCCTCTGTATCAGTTTTTTTTTTATTATCCAGAAACCATGAGTTGTTAACTCTTTGGCTCGGTACTGTGGATATCGCAACCCTTCAGCCTTGATTCCATGATAGGTACCGTAAATCTGGGAGGAAATGTGGCTTTTCTGCCTACCCCGGACCACAAGGAGTTTGTCACTCGGTCACAGTGCAGTCCGGTTTAGCCAACCTCGCAAGAGAGCCGAGCCCTCTTTATCAGTTAACTTTGTTCTATTGTTACCTTCTCCATGTATTTGTTTTGGTAGGCCTGTATTTCTGTGCCCCTGTGGGTTCGACTGCAAAGACATTTTAGTTACATTGATCTCAGATTTTCTCAACCTGTGAATTGCCCTTTTGTCAATTCTTGATTCACTGAAATTTGTTTTATCTCCCAAAGCTCAACAGATTTTTCTGTCATACCATTAAATTATTATCCATATTTCGGCTCCATACAACAGTACTGATTTCATATTATCTGAGCTATTCTTGAAACATGACAGTTACTTGGGTAAGGCCAGTACAGAGCACCTTGTATCAGATCTGCATTTATGGAAGCTTCCTTGTATGTATTCCGTGGTCTGCCCCTGCTTTCTTTTGTGCGTCGACCAGTCTGCACATGGCTGCCCTGGATTAGGCCTCTAGGGATAGCACCTGTGCATCATGGGTTAATGAGGACACCACACAAATGATGCTGAACAGTCCCACAAAACTAACTTGGAAGGCTAACCTGTGAATACGTCAGAAGCAAATGCCCAAAGTAGGATATGTTAGCCAGAAGGTACAAATATGTCAGCTGTGCTAAACAGTCTCAATACAATTATAGCACAAATGATTGAGAAATAGAGCTTTTTTGTCAAATGCAATATTTTCATATCTCTGTATCTCCCTCAGACTTGCCTGACCTCCAGTGATAATAGCCTCGCTGCAAGAAAGTGTAACCGACATGCAAGAACATTACATTCGGTGTGTATGTGTGAAAACAAGTGTGTGCAATTAGTGTGGACTTTGCCAGCGTCATCACAGCATACATTTTTAAAGTTTATTGTTTGCTTGTTCATCCTTTGTAGGATATATAAAACAGATGTCTTTTACAAAGGCCTTTCAGCATGTTACAGTTAAATGTCATGTTTTGTTTACTTTTGAAAATATAACACAAATCATGAAATCAATCTAGTTTCTTGATCAGTTTATTGGCATGAACATGCCATTTATTTGTTCATGCTTATATTTGTCTTAACTATTTTGTCTGTTATTTAGAGATTTTATACTATCACTGTATTTGCTTGTGATTAAAATTAATTGGTTGCATATCTTTTCAGGACATTGCATACCAACTCAGTTATTTAAAAGTTTGTGATTTTACCAGGCAACATTACAATCTGTAGCTTGCCATTAATTCTGAATTATCCCACAAAGCTGTCTGCTAAAGCTTTTTGGAGAATGACATAGCTTACTCCTTGCATCAGGTGGCCTTTCCCATATTTGAACTTACACAGCAGCACGCTGATAAAAACGCTCATAGGGGACCAGACAGTCGGGCATGTACTCCATAGCATGGCCCAGAACCCCTGCTGTGCATAGAATCACATTAACGGCAAATAACTAGTAAAAGGACACACTTCATCCAGACAGACAAAAAAACACCCTTGGTGCAGCCCATTGTTGGACATTCCATTGTTTCAGTGTGGTGGTTGCATTCAGTTCATAAGGCATGCAGTCCATCAGATAGCAGCTGCATGCATACCATTATGCCTCTTGTGAGACAGGAAATACAAGGGCGTTATTCCCCTTAACTCTGTCATATTTTGTCCAAGTATTCACTGAGAGGTCAGAGGGGAACTGGGTTCAAATCTTCAGTTAGGTTAGGAATTTTGTCAGGGGCAAAAATGAAATCCCAACTTGAACATTTTGTGGCAAATGCCCTAGCCGTGCGACCATGAATTCTCAGGCCCCCTTGCCTAGGCTGAAAAGTGCGGTAAATACAGGACGCAAAGAAAAAGATTGAGGGAAATTCAGGGAACAATCATTGTTTTAGTTTTGATAGCTTTTTGTTTTCTGTGTATGACTCCAGAGCAATAGGGAACTTATCACGAATTTGCCCTCAGGGTTAGAGTTCCTTCCCTTCCCATTCTTGCCGTGGCAGGTCGCATTGCCTGTCCTATGCTGTGGGGATTTCAGATTTCATTCAGCGTTTGCTTGCTGTATATAAGGTTTGTGGGAGGTTGTGTTGTCCTGAGGCACTGCAGATGCCCATATACAAGTAAGAATTACTGCAGGGGGAAGGGATGATGGGAAGTTTTTGTGATTCTAAGCTTGTGAGCGGTGGCTTACCCCGATAAAAAGAAGCCACTGACAAGGAAGACAGAAATACAAAAACATTGCAGTTTCCATACTTCGAACTGTTGAGCAAGTAGCACAACGTGGAAATGATCACGCAACAGAGAAAAGGGACAACAATTAACCGTTGAAAATAAGGAATGCACCCCACAACATGGGACAGGCTTAGCGACCCACTGCGGCATGAATGGAAAGGAACTTTTGTCGCGTGGGCAGGTTATTGATAACCTGATAAGAATAGTAGTTAGTGTGGTTGCCTGTCAAAATTGGTCTGTGTCGCAGACCTCTGATTGACCTTGATGGTCTGTGGCTCGTTTGGTGGGCCTCTGACAGACAATCTAAACCTAGCATACACTGAAACCGAACGCACACAGAGCACACATGACAATCTTTAATGTAAATCACAGATTAACAAAAGGACATTTGACTCCTCTGTATGGTTACCTAGAACCCTGGCCGAGCGAGCTTCACATTCACTACGCTCGCCAGTGCGTTCACTCAGGCAAATCCCAGGTCCGCAAACCACACCTTTGCGGTATACGCGCTTTTTCCTTGTCACTGGACCTCACCAGGATCGCACTGTCAGCAGTGATCGCAGTGTGCCAAGGCTAGAAATCATCACAAACCATCTTCTACTGATCAGAATATACCAACACTACTTACGTATTACGAAACACAACACCTATCACTTTAATCACTCCGAAAACACAAAGAAGCTATCCTACCATAACGTAACACAATCTATGCAGTCACTAAAGTATTATTCTAAACCTAACATTCTACCTCTGTCCAGCTACACATCTCCTTCCTGTCTCCAAGTCGAATGTCGTCGGCCTCCCACCTCGTGACTTTTGTCAGGGTCATTTCACTCAGCTTGGGTCATGCAACAAACATGACATGAAACTGCCAGAGAAAAAGAGTTCAGCAGGCAGCATTTCTCTAAAGACAACAGTGGTACACTCTAGCCAGCCTTCAATGTGGAGTGAAGGTGAGAGGATCGACTTCACTGCCCCGGGTTCTACCCTATATGGCTAAGCTAAGTCTCTCTCCGCAAAACAGCTAGCTGCCCGCCGAGAGCGTTACACAGATCACAACCTCTGTAGCCGTTCCCTAGGGACAGGGTTCGTAGTGGACCGGGAAATCGGGAAATTACCGGGATTTTTTTCGTTGACCTTGAACCGGGATTTTTAGCTTATAAAAGACATTCCGACCTTGAAAACCCGTGAATTTTGACCGCGGCAATGAAATCGTCAGAAATCCTGTGTTTTTCAGCACAGGCAATTTTGGGGAGATATTTGGCTTTTTTGGCCATTTGGCTAGTTTTTGGCTACTTTCGTTGTATGGTCGTTTCAGGTGTAAGGGCAGCTGATTATTGGCTATTTTCAGCCGAAATGGCTTGTTAAAGGCCAGGAGAGGGCGGGCTTTGTTGCAGATCATGAAAACATGCAGACAGCAGCAGTGTGGCATGGGGCGGGAAGTAGCAGCTTCCGTCTGTCTCGCCCGTGTGTGTGCCTTTGTTTCTAGCGAGTCGGGCAGAATGAACAGTATAAATCGTTTATGGCCGTGGTTTCTAGAAAGGATTACATTGGGAGATGGTGGTGCTCGGTTCAATTGTATTTATAAATAGAGTCGTGGTGGGGACTAAGCACGGCCTTCTCTATTAATTAGAGACGACATTGGGGCTAAGCAAAGTGACTGCAGCTGGATTTCCCAGTTCTATTTTTGGCCTGGATTTATCTTTACAGTGTGTTTGGCGATCAGTATTGTAATTCCCCGAGATTCCCTCTTCTGTTGTCTCACCCCTCTCTCTCTCTTCCCTCCCTCTTTCACTCTTCTACCTATTGCTCCTTCCTTCCCGTCTCCTGCATTGTCTCTAACCCTCCCTTCTGATCTTCATCTTCTTCTCTTTCTCTCTATCTTTCCTTTTACTCTCTCATTTCCTGTCCCCCTCTTTCCTATTTTATTTCTTGTTTAAATGTTTATTAAATGTGCGGCTCCATAACTCTTCCTAGCAACTCAAGTACACAGGAAGTTGTATTGGGGGGGGGGGGGCATTCTGTGTGAACATGGTGGATATTTTCTTTTGATGTGTTTGTTTTCTTAGCGGGCCTTAATCTCTGTCCTTCTCCCTTCCCGCCCCCTCACATTTTGTCCTACCTGTTCCTCACTCTCTGCCTGTCTGTGTCACTGCTTTCCTCTCTCTTTGTATTTGCCGCTCTCCCTCACTCCCTCCCTCTCTCTCTCTCTTTCTTTCTCCATACCTTCAGTTATTGTATAAGGTTATGTGTTGCCTAGTGCAGAACATTTCATGTCCACCATTCCCCCCTCCCACACATTAAATATATGTGTACTTTTAAAAACACATTTGCCTTCACCCCCCCTCCCCCTTTTCTCCTCCCACATTGATGACACCTAGGGGAGGGAGTGCACCCCTTCCTGCTACCTTCTTCCCTCTATATCTCATCTTATTTCTGACTCCCTTCTTTCTCTCCCTGTCTCATTCCCACTTTATTTTCTTAAACTTTATTCTCTCACCTCCTCTGTCTCACCCTTACCACCTCAGCCTTCTACACCACTTTCCACCACCTCCTCTCTCCCCTCCTTTCTGTAATTGGAAAACCAGAAATAAAACGAAGTCCACTGCTGCCCTGACCTATTTATGTGTCTGACCTATTTATGTGTGTGGGTAAACTTCTCTATTTTCCACCAGTGGTGGGTTGGGATCCCCTGGACTTTTTTTTTTTCTTCATAAAATGACCTTGGCTCTCAGGTCACCAGCCTTAAGTGTAAGAAATTGAATTATTGTTGTCACACACAGATAGGAAAAGCAAGGGGCAGTAGGGGTTAGCACTGTTGTTTTTGGACCACGGCCACATTCACATTGGGAGAGGGTAGGAACCGGAAAAGTGGCCTCACTTAGAGATTTCCTAATTCTATTTTTGGCACTCATTGTTCTTACACCCCCCACCCCCACAACCTTGTCTTACCTTTCTTCTCTCACCCCTTCTCTTTCCTTTGATCTTCTACTATTCTTCTTTCTCTCTCCATTCTTCCTTTCCTTACCCTTTCTCCTGTCCCATCTCTTCTTTGTCTCCTCTCCATCCTGTCTTTTCATTTTCTCTAGATTTCCTTACCCCGCTCCCCTCTCTTCATTCTCTCCCCCCCCCCCCCCCCCCCCCCCCCCCCCCCCCCCCCCCCCCCCCCATTTTTTTTACCTGGTTCATCTACATATTTTTTTGCCCCATAACTATCTTTTCCTAGTGGTTGTGTTCACTACACTTGAAATTGTGTGGGGGGGGGGGGGGGGGGGGGGGGGGGTGGGTGGGGAGTGGGGGGGGGGGGGGAGAGTGGGGTGTGGGGGGTTTTGTTTTTTTTCTTTGAGGTATCTTGTCTCCCTTCCTGCCCCCCTCTCTTAATCTGTGTTTGTCACTACCTTCCTTACCCACCTCTCTCTCTCTCTTGCTTTATGTCTGTTTGCCTCCCTTCATCACTTCCTCTTTGTATACCTCCCTCCCATTCTCCTACTCTGCCTTTTTTCTCTTTCTTTGGTTCTCTCCCTCTGTCTGCTTGCCTCTATGTGCTGTCCCTTTGTCTCTCTCTCCTTTATGTCTACATCTCTCTCTGCTTGCATCTGCTTCTCACCCTGTCCGTTCTCTCTCCCTCTGTCTCCCTTCTTTCAACTCTTTGTCATATTTTCCTCCTTCCATATCTCTGTTTCGTTCCCTTTTTCCTTCTATTTTCATCTGCCCATCTCTGTATCTGCATTCCCTCTTTCTGTATTTGTCTCCCTCTCTGTCTTTCGCTGTCCCTTCCCCACTTTTCCTCATCATGTCTCCATCCCTCCCTCTCATTTTTTCCTCCTTCCCCAGACTTCTTTTCCTTCTTTTCTCTACCTTCATCTGTCCATCTTTACACTGTCTCTCCCAGCCTACCTCAGCATGTGTCTTCCTCTCTCTTCATGACTCTCTCTCTCTCCCTTAACCCTCTCAGGTACCAGGTCCAGAACAGACAGGACTTCGGTTTGCTGCCCTCTACCACCAAGCTCTAAAAAAAAATTTCAAACACTATATCAAGCTCAGGGGCCGACCAATACGAAGATGGGCACAGGATATAAGTGACTCCTTGAGTATAAAAAAGTACATGAGGCGGGAGAGCTGGTGAGAGACTGAGATTTTTTTGTCAGGACAAAGGAAATGCTACATGATGATGATATCTGTGCTGGTATACCAACACATGTGGCACAAATGAAGTACCTTGTGTGCTCAGTACACCCTTGAACAAGGCAAAAATCTTGTATTAGTATTACACCGAGACAACCTTGAAAAAAACTAAGGAGACCTTGAAAAAGACCTTGAAATTGATTGGTAAATTTGGCTATGAACCCTGTAGGGATATTTGTACAAATTGCACTCGTGAACTGAATGGTGGCGCTAGGAGTTTTAGCCATTGTGGAGATGTCACAGATGTCTGTTTCTTTTTTCTGTTTAATTTTATTCAAATGTCAGTCATAATCCCTAATAAGTATGGTACGCTTAAGAGGAGCAGTAATTCTCCTCCAAAATCAGGCCTAAAGTTATCCAGCATTCAAAACTGTTTATATGATGAAAAGCATTCATTGTAACCAACATAAATAAACAAAAAAGTGAATACCCTAGTTGAAAGATCTTTATTCTCTGAAATGCACCCTTCTAAACTTATTTTCAGTGTCATGATTAAGCTAAAGTATCAAATGTGGCGTGAATAAAAAAAAAATTGTAAGTATTTGGAAAACACTACAGAACTAATCAGTGTAACTCATCAAGAGATAACACTCTAATGAAAAAGTATGTTGCATAAAATGGTCACACAGAAACTTTTGGACAAGAGGGATTGACAAGTATCTAGCAGGTCCGATTGAACCGTATACCGACACTGGTGGAACCACACAGAAAGTTGTACCAAACAGGATGGGCAAATGTCTAGTTATGAACAGAATTAAGAAACGGGGGGTAGCTAACTGATACAAGAATAACCTCCTTGATTGTTCTGAAGTCTCTTGTTTGCGAATAGGAAGAACAAACAGGGTACACATGCTAAACCAAGAACAAAATAAATCTCAGAAAACGAGATAATATAAGCAGTCTTTAAGAAAGCAGAGTACCCCTACTACTGGAGAGTGCACTAAGGTCTACAGTTTCAGTCAATACATAAAGACCATGTGTGGACGTTTTCATTTTTATCCCTTCAGCTTGCAATTTTCTTTCTGAGTCTCCTTGATTAAGTGCTCTTTGTATGAGAAAATGTCACCTTCCCATTTTGTTACTGCTCCCTTTTCACACACCCAAATTTCCTCTGTCACCTGGAGACACACAAAAAAATGGTTAAAACATCTTGGACTGCCAGAATAACTAACAGGGGTTGCCTGCAAATGGCTAATAAAAGTCGAGAGGTGAGGAAAAGACGCTGGCGTTGGATAGGGCACACACTGAGAGAACAGCATAACTAGAATGTCTTTGCATTGGAACCCACAGGGGCATAGGAATAAAGGAAGGCCAAAAAACACACGGAGAAGAGAGCTGGAGAATGAGGTTAGAAAGATTGGGAGGACATGGGGAGAGCTCCATGTAATGGCGAAGGATAGAACGACTTGGCGTGAGTTGGTTTAGGGCCTATGCTCCATTGGGGGATAAAAAGGCAGAAGAAGAAGAAGATTATATATAACAATGAGAAGCAAAGTTCTTTGGTCATGTGATGAGAAAAGGAGCACTGGAAAATATTGTGATTACAGGAAAGATCACAGGTAGAAGAGGCAGACCCAGAAAAATGATGGTGGATAGCTGAAGACAGTGGCATGGAGGAATATCACCAGTGGAACTGATCCCGCACACAAAAGACTGAGATCTGTAGAGATGCATGAATGCCTGCGCCAGCTGGCAGGGCACCTGATGATAATAAAGACAAATGCATATAGCCATTGATACAGAAGAATGTCCAAGAATGACTGGAAAATATTAACTCACAGAAAGAACTGATTACTTGTATCAGAAGTCATGATTATCATAATGTTGTGCTGTTTTACACCTCATAGGCCTGCAGTCTCTTCTTCCATTTTCTTCAGCCCTGTACAATTGTTTCAATATTATTGACAGAATCCAGTCCGTCACCTTTGGCCTCCCTCCTCAACATGTCTTGGGGGGGGGGGGGGAGGAGACGTCCCCAATCCATTCGCATTTGTTTCATATTTAAGGGTCTGTGGGCAAGACCGCCTCCATCTGACTGGCCATGCCGCTGATGTCCCCAAACCAGGATAACGATATGTCTTGGTCTGGGGATTCTGTTTTCTCACAATGTGCCATTTTCTTTGTCTTGTTACTAATGATTCCAGGAGTTGTTCAGATATTTATATTATTCCTTCACCTTTCTTAAATTAATTCCATTTAAAGTCACTACAAACTTTTTTAAGGGATTTTTTTTTATCAATTTAAAAAAAAACGTCCTTTAGCAAGTAGTGAACTGTGATGACAGAGAAAGGTTTAAAGTATTATCTTTACAAAATACTACAAAAACAACACTGAGTGAAGAAACAGTGATAGGTGGTTAAATCAACACCTTCAAGACTAAACTCTGGGTCAAGATTTGATATCACAGAAATCAAGACAAGTCCATGTTGCCCCCCCCCCCCCCACTCTCCTCAACAGTGAACAAAAAGTCCCCATACTAATGGCACTGTTATCTAGTTAGGAACTCATCTTCAGTGGCTCCCCCCACAGACGAGATAACACCTCTGCCTTGTGTAGATCCCCAATGGGGCCAGTCCAGCCAACCCGTCTGTTTACTCATTCCCAAACATGCCTGCATGGCTCTGGAAAGATATGCATGTTATTCTCACCAACTGCAACCTCTGGATTGCTGTGGCCAATTCTATACGATGAAAACTTGAGTCTGCCTTCCCGAGCCAGCTTTGCGAATCCACTATTTTACTTGAAATTTTTTTCAGGACACCAGTTTTCACCTCAGCTTCCATTCTCATGCTGAGATAAAGTAATATCATATACCAAGTTCTCCTAGTCCAACTATTAAATATGGCGGCTAAATTTCACCATGGCAAAATATTTTACACAGTACAAATTAGAGGTGCCTTTTTCAGGCTGGGACAACCAGGGTGGCAAGCGGCCAAAATTCCCTGCCTAAAATATGTGAAGGAAATGTGAGTGACAAACCTGTGAGATCAGTCTGAAGTCGTGGCTGACAAGGATCATGCCACCCTCAAAATCATTGATAGCATCTGCCAGAGCATCAATTGTCTCTATGTCCAAATGATTTGTAGGCTCGTCCAACAGCAACAGATGTGGACACTGCCAAGCCAACCAGGCAAATGTCACACGGCATCGCTGGCCATCAGACAAGTTTCTGATTGGACACACCTGCAAATGACAATATGTGACTGATACATTTTATTGTTTAAGATTAATTTCTTATTTAAACAAAATTAAACCTGTAACTTTATTATTCAATAAATGAAGGAAAAAAATGAAATATTTGCTGAAATCAAATTTTAAAAAAAAAATCTCACAATACTATGAATTAATAAGACAAAATACAGATAGTATCAGATGTCAGACCATTGAAGACAACTGCCCAAAAATATCCAACCATGTTATAAATAAACTGCAGTGGTATAAAAATAGTTATGGAAGTTAAGGTTTTTGGAAGGGGCAGGGGTTTGCCAGCAATAACTCTCTGGCCCTGAAGATGACACAAACCTGACATTGCTAATACCTCTAGATGCTGTTTAACCGCTACTCCTATATTAGACAGTCCCTGAGAAGCCTAGCTAACCATACTGGTTCTGTTTGCACCGGCAATTTAGTAGGATTGGGGTATAGTTACATATAGCCTTTAGGGCAGTAGTTCTCAACCTGTGGGTCAAAAGACCCTTTCACAAGAGTCACCTAAGACCATCGGACAATGCTTATTGATTAGTTATGAAGTATCAATGAAAATAATTGTATGGTGGGGTTTGCCACAGCACGAGGAACTGAATGAAAGGGTCACAGCATTAGAAAGGTTGAGATCCACTGCTTCAGGGGTCTTTTTACTGTCAAAGTAATGGGGGATGGCTATGACGATATGCTCAACTTTTAATTATCAAGGCCACAGTATGAGACACCATATTATTTATTTAGAGCCAAAGAAATGTAGTCGTTTAATTCTCTGCTCTGCTAAAGTTTATTGATTATGGGCCTTTTTTATTTCTGAAATGTGGTTTAATTCTCTGCTCTGTTAATGTTTATTGATTAGGGGCCTTTTTTTAATTTCTGAAATGTGGTCTTACAAGTAGTCACTGTAATATCAAATCGTCAGGTAGCAGTCCCAAGAGGAACAACAAAAACCACCTACAAAACAATCAAGACAATGCACGCAAAACAAAGTGCAGAATCTTGCCACAGCTATCACAAACATTCCTCTTTTTCTTCTGCCTTTCTAACCTCTAATGGAGCATATGCCCTCAACCAACTCGTGCTAAGTCATTCTATCCTTCGCTATTGCATGCAGCTCTCCATATGTCCTCCCCATCTTTTTAACTTTGCCTTCTGGCTCCCTTCTCCACTTGTTTTTTGGGTCTTTCTTTTTTTCTATGCCCCTGTGTGTTCCAATGCAACTACATTTAGCTATATTGTTCTTAGGTTTTCTCAATGTGTGTCCTATCCAACCCAACATCTTTTCTTCGTCTCTTGGTCCACTGAAACTTGTTTAGTTCTCTCTCAAAGCTATACATTAGTGATTCTATCATACAATTTAATTCCCTCTATTCTGTGCAGGTACCAGTTAATGAATGTTTGTAGTTTATTATTAATTGCAGCAGTTGTTCTCCATGTTTCTGCTTAATACAACAGTACTGACTTGACAGAATAAAAAATTGTTAGTTTAGTCACATTTCTTTTGATCTTTACAAATTTCCCAGTGTTATAAAAGCTCCTCTTGCCTTTTGTTTTCATATTTTAATATATGTCAGTGGCCTATCTTTACCTACATTACTGCTGAAACATGTACGACGCCACGTCTTGGAGTGGGAGACAAACATTGTATTACATCTGCATAGCCCACAGACTGGACGGACAACTGCAAGTCTTACCTGCTGCAAGCCTGTCAAACCAAAACGACCAATGATTTTCCTCATTTCCTCTTTCTCTTTGACATCAGGATAACATTTCATCATGTACTCCAGGGCAGACAAATCCAGGTCCAGTTGATCGCCCAAATGCTGATGGAGACACGACAAATCAGTATTTATCAAGATTATTCAAATGTTAATATTTGTAAATGGCATACTTCTTTTTCTTCATCTTCTACGCATTCACGGCTGTAAACTCTGGCAGACAGAGTCTGGTACTCGTTTACTCCTGGATTCTAGCCCTGTTCCAGAACATGAGTGTTGTGCATGCACATCAAGTCTCAGTTTTGATTACTTGCTTTTAAGCAGATGTACACAGTTCCCAATCAGCTGACCCTTACGGCATGCATCTGTGTAGGCAGTGAGTCTATTCTTGTTTTTTCCCCACAATGGATCCCAGGAAGCCACATGCGGAAAAGGGCATGCTACAGTGTACCCCAAAAAAATGCTTGTGAAAGGCTATGCATGAATTTGGAATACCAAAGAAGTTAATCAATGTGACCCGACTGCAGGGAAGACTCAAATATAGTAATCACAGTTCCATTCAAAGCAAACAGGTTCCCCAATAGTTGCTCTGTACCTGTGCCAACATTACCCATACAAACGCTCACGGCCCCTGGTGAAAAAACTGGAAACGAGACTGCAGTCTAGGCAAAGCCAATCGTACACACCAATGCATAAGACGCCATCAAAACTACTCAACACAAACAGTCTGCTATTAGAACTGCAGTTCATCATCGATTAGGCAGCAGCTACAATAAATCACTAGTAGCACATGCACATTAATCGCATAAGGCACCACCAGTTTGTGGAAACAGGCTGCCCACATTTTCTGAATCTACAGTTCACGCACAACACAAATCACGCTGGAGACGGCAGTGAAGCCCTTTAATTGAAATTTGCACCTCACAGTGTCGCGTTTTGCACTCAATAAAGTAGCTGGACGATGGAACTATATACTTTCATTTTACATATGGGCAAAAAAACGACTGCTCCCCACAGACAGAAGCAAATAACTTGCCATGAATAAAACCAACTGGACTATTTATTATATTGGATCCGACACCCTTAAAAATCATCATTATGTGCCCTGCCAACTGGGGTAGGCGCTCATGTGTCTCCACAGATCACGATCCCTGGTTGACTGGAACAGCTGTTTTAATTATATCCCTCCATGCCATCATTTTAGCCCATCCAGCATTATCTCTCTTGATCTCCCTCTACCCCTTTTTCCACCGATCTTTCCAGTTGTCACGATGTTCTCCAATGTCTCTCTTCTCATTATGTGGCCAAAGTACAGTGTTTGTCTCTTTCTTGTTGTATTTAGAGATCTACTTTCATTAGCCTCTTTCAAGCAATCGTTGTTAGTTACTCTGGCCATCCAAGATATTCGCAACATTTATCTCAGAAACCCCATCTCTGTTGCTTTCAAATTCTTCTTAATTTGTTCAGTGACATTCCAAGATTCGCTACCATACAACAGAACAGGTTCTATGTAACTTTTTAGCACCCTCTTTCTGACATTAAATGAGAGCAATTTATTGCATAAGATATTTTTCATTTTCTGAAATGCAGCTTTCGCTTGACCTAATCTGCTTTTAATCTGTCACACATTTTCCATCTGATATGATATGATCGTTCCCAGATATTTAAATTTATTGACTTGGTAAAGTCTTTTTTCTTCAACTGAGACATCACAACGTGGAATTATCTTCTTCTTTGATATCCTTATAAAATACCTGGTTTAAATCAAGGTTATCCCCAGCCCCATTTTTTCAACTATAAGGAATGTTAAAAAAAATGATTGTACTGTAGGAGAAACAAGAAAACTTGGTTATGAAGACTCTACAGTTATAAAGTAGGAAAAAATGAACTGGAGACAATGAAATCACTGACTCAAAGGAAGCAGTTAAACTGATGGGACTAGTTATCAATCAAGACAAGAAAGAATACATCCAATCGAGAGGGAAAAGGGGAAAACTTCTGCCACATACAAACAGGTATATGAAAATTAAAATGAATGTACGTCATATAAGAAGAAATATAATCTAGAATGCAAACTATCAATGAAGTACGTTATGCCCTGCAAATCCTGTTAAAACAAATGCTCTCTCGTAACATCATAATTTTATTCATATTATAAATTATTATTATGAACAATAAATAATGGAAGAGTAGTTCTTCTTCTTCATGTTCAATGGCTGTAAACTTTGGCAGAAAGTATTAGGTGTTCGTCCACTTCCGGAACCCTAGCCCTGTTCCAGAAACTTAATGTTTCGTGCACATCCATTTGCCTGCAGACTGTTGGTTCATTGCCTCTCAGGCAGATACTCTGACTTCAAAGGAAGCTCCCAATTAGTCGACTCTTATGACACGCTTTTGGGCAGACAGTGGGTCTATTCTTGTTTTCCCTACACTGGGGTTCCTGATACCACAGCAGTAGGAAAGTAGTTATATCTAATTTAAAAAAAAAATACCTAGTACATTTTCATTCTTAAGAAATATATAATGAAAGCCTACCTGATGGTACCTCCCAATTTTGAGATGTGAGTGTCTGCGAATAAGTCCATCTGTCGGAATTAGCTGAGGAAAATGTTAATGCACATCAGTAAAAAAAAAACTCCTTGCAATAATGATAATACTGCTACAGTGCATTTAAAAATTCGTGCTGTTGTGTTTTTGCTTCTTTCTCAGTAATTACTTAAACAAGGGCCAAGGTTTTTTTTGTGGGCGTGTGTGGATTGGCTCGAAACAGATGTTTTCTTTGTTATTTTCATCAATTTAGGTAAAAAATCAGTGCCACCATAAATTACCCTAAACCTAAAAGTTATACCTTTACAATTTGTGATGAAACTGAAACGATCCAGCATGCTCCATGTTATAGCGCACTGCCACTGTAAATTACCCTAACTCTAAAAGTTACACCTTTACAATTTGTGACGAATCTTTGAAACAATTCAGCATGCTCTATTTTATAGAGCTCTGCGACATTTTTAGCGCAAGTTTAGGAATTTAGGTAACACAAGAAACACGTGTTTTTAAAAAAGATCGACTCTTACCATGTGATTATTGTGCTGTATAACTCTTAAAAACCAATCCAGCAAGGACCACTGAATATTTATTTACCTCAAGTAAGCAAAAATAAATTCTAATTGTTAGCGGGCAAAAAAAAAGTGAAATTACGTTGAAAATAGAGTTTTAAAAATTATATAAAATTTAATCCATTTATATTCAATTACAGCTTGAGATATAACCGTTTGAATATCGGCTCAAATTTGTAAACGCAGTATTTGATACCACATATTATAAAAACGATAAAACAGTGCTTACAGACATTACTGTAAAAAAAACTTTACAAATTACATAAATGATACAATGCTAATCAAATTTACAGTAAATATCTCACTATTTGTCTTCAAACAAAATATAAAATACTATGCCCTTTTCTTTCTGTAAAACAGGAAATTACATCATAAAAGTCAAGTCAAGTAGCGGACTCTTTTCCACTTCTTCAGGCATACTGGACATGAGGTTAAACCTATATTTAATAGGCCAATCAGCACTCAGCGGATGATGTGGTAAACACCATGCCTGTCACTTTTACTTGCAAGGACTCTAATTGGCACCCCTTTTATTCAAGGTCGACCTAGGAGCAAAGGTCATTTATAAATAAAAAAATTTTTAAAAGTCCAGCTCTGTTCAGATTTGAACCCATGATAGCCGCATCAACCGGCGAGCTTCTAGCGCTAAACCTCGGCAGCTTATATACTGCTGCATACACATGCAAATTTTCAACAAGTAAATATGCAATTTACCTCTCCTGTAATGAGTTTCAGAAGTGTAGATTTGCCTGCACCATTGGGACCCACCAAGGCCACACGAGTGTCTAAGTCAATACCAAAATCCAGATCCTTGTAAATGTATTTCTGCAGAGACAGGTAGGCAAGGAAAAAATTTTATCAGCAGCAAATCATATTTACACAATACCAAATAAACCAGTACAAGTTTTGTTCATTACATCCTCAGTAATCTCTGGTCTCTTCATCTTAGCTTTGACTGGCTGTAAATTGGCGGAAAGTTCTGGCTGTTTGTCCACTATGGGCCACTTACTACAATCTTAAACACAGAGTTCTTACTTATAACTATCTTTATGCGTTTAGTTAGTTGCGTATCCTTTACAGGACGTTGCAGAACCAAGCCCAGCATTTATTGACTGTTGTGGTTTTTCTAGGCACTTCACGCTGTACTAATGTACAATTGTTTTCTACACTGCTGCTCACTGTCTGGCATGTATTAAACTATGACAATCAAAGAGTCTAGAACTTTACAAAATTATTTATTTATATGTATCGACCCATTTACAGAGAACCTCCCAAGGTGAGTTCCGGGAGCCTATTTTGAGTGAAACAGAACTGACCCTGGCCAACTACTACTTAATAATAACAGGAAAGGAACTTTTTCCTCGCCTTTAGGCTTATTGGGCACATAGGGTGATCTATATTTTACAGACCAATCAGCACTCTTGTGTGATGTGGGCAGCATAACACCATCTGTCTTTACTTCCCAGGACTGCAACCTGGTAAACACTTAGGGCTGGGCCAACCTGGGACCTAAGGTCACTTTTAACAAAAGTCTGGCTCCCTCAGGACCTAAACCCACAACTACTCAATCACATCATAAAAGGAAACTAATTAAGTGATTGCCAAAACAGCTCAATTGCCATTTAAAGAGTGAATGCTGATGAATTCATTTTAAAACATACAAAGACATTTAAGAAAGTGGCAGCATAAAAAAAAAAAAAAGCAAACAACCAGAAAGAAAAACTGACAAATGAGCAAGCTCTTGAAACAGAACCAGGAGAATCGGTCTTATCTAACGACCTGTAACATTTGCCAGTGGCAGTCATTATGCCCTGGATCACAAATTATTCCTCTTCACGACACTCAACAGCAGAAGTTTATGATAATGAATGATATGTAACACCTAAATGAATGCTTGAGGTAAATATTAGGCAATTGAAGAAGAGGCAGAGAACATGTATATAAAACAGGCTTGCACAAAACATTTCAACTCTGCTTTAGCCACTAATGACTGTGCATGGCTTGCTCAGTTGACCTACCTGGCTTTCGGAATACCTGAAGCTCACATTCTGAACCATAATTACAGGCGGAGGTATTTCCCCACAGCTTGGGAAGTAGAGAGAGACAGTCTGCAAAAAAAAAAAAGACAAGCTGGCATGTAAGAAACAGTTGACTGTCACCTGTACAGAATGTAAAAGTGACATATGAGGGATTCACTGAAAAGAAATACTTCAGCTAATAGACCAGTTCTTCTCTGTTTAGCAACTGTAAGTCCTGTCTGCTTTGGATTTTAGTTTTGCATGTACATCCCCATTTTACTGGCTTATTTGTGTGCAGTTGGTTGTTCCTTGCCACTCGGGCAGATGCACTCTGATTTCAAAGAGAACTCCTAATCAGTCGACTCTTACAACATGCATACTGGAGTGGCAGTGGGTCTATTCTTGTTTTCCCTAAAGTGGGATCCCATAACCCACACAGGTGACTAGCTCAGTTAAACTAAAAGCGTTTCCCAAAATAAATAAATAACATCAAAGGCACTACAAGTCCCACTAGTTCTAATTTCCTTGTTTCCAACAAACAGCGACTAAACATTTCACTTTGACAAAGTGACAACTTTAGCTAGGGGGAAAATTAATATTTTGACCTATCTGGAGTCAGAATTCACAGGTGTGCCTTTTACATATTGTAAATAACAGCTGTGAAAATATAGATAGTTGAAAATCATGTAAACTGCAATTAGGAGACTTGAGCATAGCATGATGACTTAGTTTTGACATGTTATGGTCCTACAACTCTGGTAGTCAGTGTTACTTTGATGTTTAGATCCACCTTCAATCATTGGGGGGGGGGGGGGGGGGGGGGGGGGGCTCTCAAACTGAGCTGAAAAGAATCTTGTTTGATCGAGTGATGTTAATGCTTTGTGCCTGTTTACAGCATAGCTGCGATAAAGGCCTAACACATCTGACTTCGTCGGGCATTTGCTAACCCAAAGAACTCTGACATCCTGCACATGACAGCTTAACCTCACATACGCTGAAAAGAATAATGTCTGCCTAATATACTTTCAAGGAAGCCTGATCATGTCAATCAAATGTAAAGACATAGATATATTTTTAAAAATCCTAAATTTATATTGTCTAAAAACTATAATTAAAATGAAAATAATGGAGAGGTATATGCCAGGGAAGAGAAAGAACAAAGAGATGATGGGTGTAGGATGTGGCTGATAATCTCCAGATGGGTGTATCTGATGAAGGACATCTTGCTTGTGACCAAGAAGTTTTCCGGAAGGTTGTTATGGGACATGCTGATGACAAAGGACAGGCTACTAACTGGTACATTTTATAATTCAAGAAAATACCACAATACAAACCAAACCATGTCAAGAATAAAATCAGAACTTGGTAATGATACATAAAGAATAGAGAAAAGGTTAACGCACATATAAAGAAATATATATAATGTAATTTACCTTGTCTGCAGAAATCCTTTCTGTCAGGCCACCATCAACCATTTTCTTCAATGTCTTCTCTTTACTTTGGGCTTGCCTTGCCAGTTTAGCACTACCATGACCAAACCGTGCTATATAGTTCTGGAAAGAGAAGGTCACATTTAGATTACATAATAAACCTTAAGTAATGTTTAATTGTCTGACTTTGGTGCAGTAGTTAGTTCATTATCCTATAAAGACAGAAAAAAAACCTAAAGTGATCTAGGGTTTAATCATAAGCTGTGGTTACAATCTTGACCCCTAAAGTACAGCTGAAGGGTTGACCAAGTTACTTGCATTTGTTTGCCATGTCATTTAAAGACCACTATTATAATCATGTACTGCATCAGCTGTCTTCATTTACACATCAGTTACCGGTTCAGTCATAAAATGACAATGTGTTCCACTACTGGATGGATGCCTCAGGGAGGCTGGTCATGCTTGTTAGATTATGTGTAATTAATCACGCTTGATGTGTTTGTGACCAACATATATGCCATGCCTGAAAAACAGCATGGATGCACCTGAATACACCCAAAGATACCCAGGGTTGAAATTCAGATCTCTCTGGCAATGTGGAGCACACCGCCACTGCCCCCATGAGGGCCGAATCTAGCTCTATAAGTTCTCATAGGTTGGAAGAAAAAAAGCGCCCTTTGGGTATTTTTCCAGACAAAGCTGGCGTTTTCAAAAACAAACAGCAAGATAGACTGGCTGGTTCTGCGCCACTTGGTGGTGAGCTGATGCATGACAAGTTAGATGTAAGCAAGCGAACAGTGCTGAGGTACAAATAGCTTATGGTATGAGGAGAATTGTGGGAGGATCTAGCCAATGCTCAACGGAAAGATTAGATGGTTACATAATTAGACTATTATTTATTATTTCGGAACTGGGAGTCTGCGCGTGCTGATGAAGATAAGAACGGAGCACACAACCCCATAATATGAGATCTTGTATTATGTACTCTTATTATGGCATGGCTTAGGGCAGTTTTTATTTGGTGGGCTAAACGAATTCAAGGAATCTTTAGAACAGAAACCTTTTTTTTTGTGTGCAAATTTAATACTGATAACTTACGAGAGCAGACTCAATTGACCCATGCCCGGCCTTATATTTCCTGCAGCACATACTAACCCACCCCCACGTAATGCTTCTAGACTTCCTTCTGCCCTGTGGGTGCTAGTGAAAGAACATTCTACTCATCAATAATAACAGTAGCCCACAGGATTAGACAATTCAGATCAGCAAAGGTTCAGAGGTTGATCTGTGTAACTGACAGCAATACACCCCTAAGATGGTACATGCCACAGTGTCAACCGTAACTCTTCCATCTTCTTATGGTAACAAGTGAAACAAACCTTCATATGTGCAATCTGATCCTGCTCCCACTTATATTTTTTCATTTGATTCTCCTCAAGCTCGTATCTTGTCTGTACATAGGTGTCGTAGTTACCCTGTTGAAGACACGATAGAAGAACTATTAAAATCTGTACACTTGACTAAACCTACATGATGCATTAAGGCAGCGGTTCTCAACCCGTGGACCGCAACCCTTTGTTGGGTAGAACGACCCTTTCACGGGGGTTGGGTAGGACCATCATTATTAAAGTTATGATGTAATGAAAATAACTATGTTTGGGTGGTCGCCACAATATAAGAAACTGTTTTAAAGGGTCACTGCATTAGGAAGGTTGAGAACCACTGCAGTAAGGCATTTTTAAATATTACAAAGATCATCATCACGTGCCCTGCCAAGAAGTGAAGGTTGTCATGTTTTGCCATCCAAAATGATCACAAAAAGTGCAAATCAGCTCTGTAATGTCTCACCCCATCTATCCAGGTATTTATCTCTTCACCTTTCCTTTGCTCTTTCCAACCAATCTTACCAGTTATCAGGTTTTAAAGTCTTTTTTTTTTCCTCATAACAAAGCTAATATACCAATGTTTAAAGGAATGCTGCAACAGAATGATGGTTCATGAACTTATCTACCATCAAACAATTTAAATTAGTTATGACTAAAGAGACCAAATGTGAATAAAACTGCTTGCTGGAATCAAATCTGCTCTGCTAAAAAAGACAGATGATACAGCCATGCTGTATACACTTAGAAACAATATATTTTTAACTTGAATTTAGAAAAGAAAAAAAAATTACATTTAATAAATGATTACTTTCTGTATTTTAAAAAAACTTGAGAAATACCACTCACAATACTCACTGGCACACCTAGAGAAATCTAGTAAGATTATCTACACTTATTCATTCACTGGGGCACTGTTATTTTCAATCAAATTTCACAATCTAAAGCGTTTGTAACTTTTAATCGTTCTGTTGCCTAGTATGTCTTTTTTCCTATTTTGTTCTGCTATGAGTCTATTTTTTGCATTTATTTCTTAAGCTGCAACCACGGCCTAAGATCTTTCTACTAACGGATACAAGTACATAATTTTGGATTTAGGAGAACATGTGCCAGATTACAATTATGTCCCCACAGATGTACTGGCTATAATAAAGAAATTACACACAAATATTATGAGATTCTTTTGATAATTGTATTATAGAACAATTATATAAAGATAGTGATGCTTAAAAGACTGCATAACATAAATAATAGATGTATACAGGGCTACTTACTGGCCGACATTTTGAAAGTGGAAATCGTCACAGGGCACTACAGAGAGCAAGGTAGCAGTAACAGAGTAAGAGATCAACCACACAAAAAATGGACCGCAGAAATATCAAAGACACTGAAAGGTACTATATACGAACAAACAAACTGGTCTCAAATTGGGCACGCAGGCCTGTCTTACATTCAGCCTTTTCAAACACCTATCTTTCACATAGCAGTTGTATTTTATCAATAAAGCATGTTATTTTTATATAATAATTTGCACATTATGAATATCAAGAAAAAAACACACAAAAGCAAAGAAGAAGGGTCCGATCCAGATATCTCTTCCTGCCCTGACACAGGAAGAATAGAAAAGAAGAAGGGATCGTCACGGACCAGAGGACGGAGCCCCAGTATAGATAGATGATTAATTTAATGCATCTGGCAGTGATTCGCCAGGGGCCTCCAGTGAACCGCCAGCAGTAGGTTAATTTTACGACTATGAAAATACACTGCAACTTTATAATTACTTCCCTCAAAGATGTACAGGCAACTAATACAAATCATATAGCACACTGGAAGAAAGAAAGTACTTACACCAAAGTAATTGAGCTTCTTCAGATTCATGTGTATAATGTTTGTACACACACCGTTCAGGAAGTCTTGTGAGTGAGATACAACCACAAGAATACGTGGGTATCTGAAACAGCATATATTTTTTTCTTGTAAGCAAAGAACGTGTATAAGCATCAATAATATATATGCATAACTGGTAAATGATAAAACCGGCAAGGCCATTATCTCTTCCATGGTATGACTCTTGTACCATTGCTTCAAAGCTATGATAATGGTCCTTTTTTAAATTACTGGAATCGAAGCCAGTTAAGCATCAAGTATTGCACTGTGAAACTCCACTAAACTCTAAGCCACAAACTGAACAAAACATTAAAAAAAAATAATTTCATTATTTTATCAAAAGAGTGAACATTACAAATTTCCCATCACCGATAATGGGATTAACAATGATAACTAATCTTCTTCTTAATCTTCACTGGCTGTACACTCTGGGTAAAGGTTATAATTGTTTGACCACTTCTGACTTTGGTCTTGTTTCAGAACTTCAGCTCTGCGTGCACACCCATTTTACAGATCTTCTCGGCTCTCAAGTGCAGGGAATAAGATGATGAATTTAATTCACACTACCAATGTACTGTTAACATTAGAGTCTAATAAAAGCCAGTGTGTGAAATTCTTACGTCTTGAGTTCTTCCTCCAACCACACACAAGCATTGAGGTCCAAATGATTTGTCGGCTCATCTAGCAACATCAAAGAGGGCCGCAAAAAGAGTGCACGGGCCAAAGCTATGCGCATCCTCCATCCTCCAGAAAAGTCTTTGACCTGTGAACAAACACAATGTGTCATAATCATTTTGCAGATCAGATTTATTATGTCAACGGCTACATGTTCTGTGTAGTTACTAACCCCTTTGTAACAAAAAGCAGGGACAATATGGAAACTTCCGGAAACTATTCCCCCAAAATGTCACTTCTCTTGTTTACCTGTTTTGCACAGTTAATACTACTGGTTGGTAACCACAGCTTTGGTTTTGCAGTAGCACAAATGTTTAGGAAGTGAGAACATTAAAAAAAATTATAACATTTACGCAAGCTTTCCTTTGAGCACAATAATTTTTTTTTGTATGCCAAGGTGATACCATATTTTCATGTAAGCCTCGTGATAAATGTCATTAAGGCACCGCACAAGTCACCTGAAAAAATTTTTATGGTGCAGGAATGTAATCCATTTAACGCTTTCAGACTGTGAATGTTTACTGATTACGCATTTCATATATCTATATATTTTTAAACAAACTTAAGATACATCTTCAACAAATTTATTAGTGACCCGTGTTTTTTTTTTAAATCCACGCTTTAAGCTGATTTTTTCCTCTGGAATTCCATCAGGGTCAAAACTTACTTCCGTGTTCCAGGGCGAGCTAGTTTAACTGTCATTTAGGAGACAGCTGGAGCAATATTAGCATTAAAAAAACCTGATACCTTTGTGTGTTGCATGGCTCTGCTGAATCCCAACCCATGAAGTATGTATCCGGCCTTAGCTTCAGCTTTGGTAGCATCTAGGTCATCAAGCCTCGCATAAACATCCATAAGCCTCTCATGTGCCTCTGTAGGAAGAATTATGGCGCTATTAGAAATGTACTTTATAAACCGGCCTGAATACATTTTTTTTTTAATAGCTTGTTTGTCAACACCCCTCCCCCACAGTCAAATATTACAGACATCATGTCTTCTTTTTCTCCAGCTACCTCAGCAAAGGAATGGGAGCTGGTTTGGTGAACTTGGTTCTAAAATCTTTTTAGACATCCCACAACTGACTTATACTCTGGGTTCCTTCATACAACTATTGTTTAAAATTAAAAATTGGGAACAGGGCACCATTTCAATTAGCGAGAAAACTTATGGTTTCCTTGCTGTAACCCATATCACAAAATGTCATTACACAAGGCTGGATAGACTCGTCAATCGTGTGAAGTCGGGTCCTCTTCTTCATCTGTCTCCTAACCCCCAGTGAAGCATAGGCTCTCAACTAACTCACTCCAAGTTGTTCTATCCTTTGCTACTGCATGCAGCTCAAACCATGAACTCCCCATCTTTTTTAGCATCACTCTCTAGCTCCCTTCATGTGTTTCTTGGTCTGCCTTTATTTCTATGCCCGTTACTTCCAATTCAAAGACATTCTAGTTTTTTTTCTCAGGCTTTCTTAACGTGTGCCCTATCCAATGCCAGTGTGTGGCGCGGTGATTTATGTCACAGGCGTGAGGGAAAGTTAAGTCCAACATGATGTGTATAAGGAGATACTCCGTACGTCACTCGGGCGCCAGTCCTTCACTATCCTGGTTGTACGGAACCTCACGCAAGACCCCTACAGCACGTCCTCGTCGTGCGCCACGGATAATGTCTCAAATGAGCATTAACAGAGCTGTCAGGGGATCTCGGAGTTTGGCGGCCCCCAGAGTTGATGTGTCCTTGTGGCTCTCATCAGCCCGCCCCCAAACGCTTGGGTGAAAAATGTTATCAAAACTCATTAGGAACATGAGTAGGGTTGACAAACATACAGCTAAAATTACAACCCTTGGTTAAAAGACTGCTGAGTAAAGAGATCATTGCTCACTGCACATCCTCTGTTAATTCTCAGTGTCGTCGTCACCGCGCTGAGGTACAACCACAACAGCAACCATCCATAGGCTGGCCATCCTTGTACATCCTCAGTTGGCCCTCAGTGTCGTCGTCACTGCGCTGAGGTGCACCACAACAACAACCATCCATAGGCTGGCCATTCACGTACATCCTCGGTTAACCCTCAGTGTCGTCGTCACCGCGCTGGGGTACACCACAACAGCAACCATCCATCGGATGGCTAAGCCTAAATGTCCGACAAAACTAGATCATATGGATCAAAATGTGACCATCAAAATTTGCACTGAACTGAAAAAGACCGAATATCCACACCCAAAGACCCCACTCGCCCGAGTGTTGGGACAAAACTGATAACGATACGCCTGATTCAGGATGTGAAATTCTGTCAGGCTAATGTACCTATCTGTGTGGTCACAAAAGTCCAAAATCCACGGGGCTGCTCCCCGCTGACTTCCAGAGGGCGCAGCCCCTGTCGAGTGGGAGGCCTGATACGGTTGTGAGGTTAAGCAGGCATGTGCAGGACGTGACGATTCCTTGGGTGAGCCCAGAATCAGAGCAATATGTGCCGGCTCTGCATGCATGGAAGCCTCCTTGGATGGCGGGGAATGCCCATGATCTGCCCCTGCCTTCCCTTGAGGGCCAACTGTTCCACAGGGGGCTGCCCCAAAGGGGTACTCTGGGGGCAATACCTGCGGCGAAGGAGACAAAATGGACACCACACAAATCAGGCAACGTCTCGACCCACACAAAACAATGGCCACAGTCACCCTAGAAATAGGCCTGACTTCCTTCGAAGTCGGCGTACAGCTGCCCAAGAGGCAGGGAAATGAAAAACGGTTGTACACGCAAAAATCAGGTCCAGGTGAAAGCCAAAAGTCCAAGCGGACGATTAACCCTGACCTTCCACTGGAATTCACAGCCGGTGTTCGATGAAAAAAAAAAAAAAAAAAAACAATGCCAGTGTCTTTTCCTCACCTCTTGGTCCAGTGGAACTCGTTTGGTTCCCTCCAAAGCTCAATATTAGTGATTTTATCATACCACGTATTACCCTCTATTCTGCGCCTGTTTGTAGGTTATTAATAACAGTTTTAGCTGTTTCTGCTCTAAACAACAGCACTGATTTGACAATAGAATTAAAAATTCTTAGTTTAGTATTAGTTTTATATGAAACCAGACCCTTAACAGAGCATTAAACCAAGAACATTGCATCTGTGAATAGTGCTATTATTCTACTAAAGGGTTCATAGCCAAATTTACCAATCAATTTCAAGGCTTTTCAATGTCTCTTTAGTTTTTTTCAAGGTTGTCTCTGTGTAATACTGAAACAAGATTTTTGCCTTATTCAAGGGTGTACCGAGCACATAATGTACTTCATTCGTGCCACATGTGTTGGTATACCAGCACATATATCATCAACATGTAGCATTTCCTTTATCCTGAAATAAAAATCGGTCTCTCATGTTTTTATACACAAGGAGTCACTTATATCCTGTGCCTATCTTTGTGTTGGTCGGCCCCTGTGCTTGATATAGTGTTTGAAATTTTTTTTAGGACTTGGTGGTAAAGGGCAGCAAATTGAAGTCCTGTCTGTTCTGGACATGGTACCTGAAAGGGTAAGGGGGAGAGAGAGAGAGAGAGTCATGCAGAGAGGGAGGAAGACACATGCTGAGGAAGGCTGGGAGAGACAGTGTAAAGATGGACAGATGAAGGTAGAGGAAAGAAGGAAAAGAAGTCTGGGGAAGGAGGAAAAAACGAGAGGGGGGGATGGAGACATGTTGAGGGAAAGTGGAGAAGGGACAGCGAAGGACAGAGAGGGAGACAAATACAGAAAGAGGGAATGCAGATACAGAGATGGGCAGATGAAGAGAGAAGGAAGAAGGGAACGAAACAGAGATATGGAAGGAGGAAAATATGACAAAGATAGTTGAAGGAAGGGAGACAGAGGGAGAAAGAACCGACAGGGAGAGAAGCAGATGCAAGCAGAGATAATTGAAGACATACAGGAGAGACAGAGGGACAGCATAGAGAGGCAAGCAGGGAGAGAACCAAAGAAAGAGAAAAAAGGCAGAGCAGGAGAATGGGAGGGAGGTATACAAAGAGGAAGTGATGAAGGGAGGCAAACAGACATGAAGCAAGAGAGAGGGGGGGGAAAGGGGTAAGGAAGGCAGTGACAAACACAGCTTAAGAGGAGGGGAGGCAGGAAGAGAGACAAGATACAGCAAAAAAAAAAAACAGCCTTCTGCTGAGATGGTAAGGGTGAGACAGAGGAGGTGAGAAAGGTGAGAGAATAACATTTAAGAAAATAAAGTGGGCACTGAGACAGGGAGAGAAAGAAGGGAGTAAGAAATAAGATTAATTAATAGAGAAGGCTGTGCTTAGCTCCCACCATGACCGACTATTTATAAATACAACCCAACCGAGCCCCACCATCTACCAATGTAATCCTTTCTAGAAACCACGGCCATAAAACGATTTATACTATTAATTCTGCCGGACTCACTAGAAACAAAGACACACGCACACGCGAGACACCCCATGCAACGCCGCGCGCATGTATTCATGGGCTGCAACACAGCCCGCCCTTCCCCTGGCTTTTAACAAGCCATTTCGGCTGAAAATAGCCGATAATCAGGGCCATAATACCTGAAACGACCTTAAACGAAAGTAGCCAAATGGCCAAGAAAAGCCAAATGGCTCCCAAAAATTGCCCAACTGCTGAAAATCACAGGACTTTAGACGATCTCTTTGCGGCGGTCAAAATTCACGTTTCTCAAGGTCAGAATGTCTTATTCACGGTCAAAATCACTGTTCCTTGTTGGATAAACAAAATTCCGGTTAATTTAAGGTTTCCCTGTCCGCTACGAACCCTGCTACTAGCCTTCCTGAAAGTAAAACAAAATTTTAGTATGAACATTGTAATTGTAACCTGGGTCTGTGTTGTGGGCCAATTCCTCTGCCTCTTTCTCAAGATGGCGCCTGGCATCATCCACTTCAACTACAGCCATGAGGGCGGTTTTATCACTGGGAGGCATCTCTCTTCTCAACAAGAATGTATCAACATGTTCAGGGATCGGAACTTCCCTTGCGGCCAAGGCAGCCAGAAGAGATGATTTTCCTAGAAAGAAAAAATTTCAGAGTCTAATAACCGTCTAAAGCTTAAACATCATCAAAGTTGAACAACCACCACAAGCTTAACCATTAATGTTCAACAATCATCAAAGTTCAACAACCATCAAAGCCTAAGCATCAATGTTTAACAGCCATCAAAGTTAACAACTATCTGCATTTCTGTGGCTATAAGTAATTTTTTTCAACTGTCTCTGCTGCCTGTATTTGTGTTGCGAACATGCTTCGTAATGCCAGGTTTGATCCCAGCTCCAGCCAATTTGGCAGCTGACCGCCTTGAATTGGTTTCGACAATGATACCAAGGGCTGATTGTTCAGGAAGAAATGGCAAACTACTGAATGTAAGTTTGCCTAGAAAAACTGAAACAGCTAAGAAATGCTGGGGTTGGTTCTGTAACATCCTGCAAAGGATACACAACTAACTTGAGGGATGCAGACACCATTTATCTTTAACCTCCCTCACGTTAAGAATTTACAACACACTTATTTTTGCCAAGCAGCTGTCCTTGGTCTATCTCTAAGGTAGTAGGTTTTTTCTTTATTATTTTCTTCTACTTTGCTTTTAACTCGCAACTTGTGAAGGAAATGTATGGTTGTTTAATCACTTTTAGAGTTTTAGTCTTGTTTCAGAAGATGAGTGTTACATGCACATCCGTATTACAGATATGGCTTATCTGTATACAGAAAATTGATTCCTTGTCTCTCAGGCAGATGCACCCTGACTCTGAAACCCCTAATTAGTCGACTCTTATGACATGCTTGGGGAGGCAGTGGGTCTATTTTTGTTTTCCCCATAATGGTGCCCCGGAATCCATACAGGGAGATTTCTTTCCGTGTGATGCTCACTTAACAGATGTGTTTGATTTCAAAGTCTCAGACAGTAGCTTCCTGTCATTGGGACATGTAAGTAAAAATTTAAAAAAAAAATGTGCATTTTTCTGGTGTAGCCATCTGTTCTCCTTTTAGTCGTATCTCCAAGCAGAAAAATGTTTAATGTATTTAGATTTTAAATAGTAAATCTCAATTTAGCCCAAACTACATTTTCAAACATTTAGTTTATGCTCAAATTTTAGTCAAAATCACTCAGAAAGCTATGCCATGTTTAGAAATGGTCACATAGATGAATCTAGGTGACGGATATATTAATCAATGAAGCTCAAGAACTAGGAATGCTGAAAAAGTCTGAACATACAGAACTCAAAGACACACAGAAACCTGACAAATTTAGCGAGGCAAATAAAGAAAAATGAACATACCACAGCCATTCAACCCTATCAGACCATATCTGCGACCAACATTGAGTTCAAGTGTCGAGTCCATCAGTAGTTCAGCCCCGTGAAATAATATAGACAAGTTATGAATGTGGACGTCACGACTGTCAGGATGAGAAGCTAAGACTCCGGTGACTGACCGATGTTTAGCAGCAAGGGCAAGTTCATCCATGAGTGCAGCCACTGAAGAGTCATCTGAAATCACATAAATGATTTTGTTACTTTAACAAGTTTTTTTTTATACCTTTATATGTGTGTGTGAGAGAAAGAGAGACAGACAGATGAATGAAGAAACGTTCCGTATTTAAAATATTACATGCACACATACATATATATATATGTGTCTGTCTGAGACAGATGAATGATGAAATGTTTTGTACTAAAACTATTATATGCACACATACAGCCAAAATGGTAACAATAGCTTTAAACTCATTTAGGTCCACACTTATCAGTGATTACAGGGGCACATAAATAAAGGAAGACAAACAAACAAAATGTAGAAGGGAGTTAACAGAGTGAAGTTAAAAAGATGGGGTGGCCACAAAAAGAGCTGCGTGCAACAACAAAGGATAGAATGACTTGGCGTGAGTTGAGGGCCTATGCTTCATTGGGGTAAGAAAAACAGCAGAAGAAGACTCCACATGTTCTCCTCCTCTACAGACAAGCATAAAACGACTGGTAATGTCTCTGTGCTGATCAGTGAATTATCTTGTGCCCTTGATGTAACGTTCATTTCTTTCAGCTCCCCATATCTATCAGCTTGGATAGGGATATCTTCTTTTCTTCTTTGCTTTCACCAGCTGTAAACTCTGGTAGAAAGTTCTGGTTGTTTGTCCACTTCTGGAGTGTAGCCCGGTTTCAGAACCTGAGTGTTGTATGTGCATCCGTTTTACAGATCTGACTCATATATATGCATACTGTTGGTTCCTTGTCTCTCAGGCAGATGCACTCCATCTTCAAAGTAAGCTCCCAATTAGTCAACTCTTACGACATGCTTTTGGGTAGGCAGTGGGTCTGTTCTTGTTTTCCCTACAATGGAGCCCCTGAACCTACATTGGGAGAGGGATATGATCATACTTTTCACCATATTATTCTTTGCATTAAATGCTGCGCATGGCAATGAAATGATGACAATGTTTCTGCTCAGTACCCTACCAGTCGAGTCACAGCAACCGTGTCCCCCACACTGCTGTTACAATAAAACAATAGTGTGAGCAAGAACAGGGGCATATTATTTGCATGTTGAAACTTTCAAATTAAAAGCAATTTGTGAAAGAAAAAGGCAAGAATACACACAAAGCTCCAGGTGAATGTCATTTTTAAAGATATTTTTAAAAACGCATTTTATATAGTAGGACTGTTTAGGTAACTTTTTTTTTAAACTACAAGTTCATTAACACAACTGGTAAAGATCTGCGGGCCACTTGAAAGGCTTCTGTAGGCCAAATCTGGTCTGCCAGCTGAATAAGCCCTGTCATGTAGAATAAGGGTATGCCAATCATCAGTAAGCTCTTTATGAAAATAAATAGAAAAAATACTGGCCTGTTAAAGCAAACAAACAAAAGGAAGAGACAAACCTGCTGTGCCATCACCATTCTCTGTCTCTCCGTTTTCACCCTTTAATTCTGGGTCGTCATCTTGCTGCAAATTCTTTTTCCCTCCACGAGACTTTGCGGCTTCTTTCTTCTTTGCATCTCTCTTCTTTTTTGCATCGGAAGGCATTTTGTAACACTAGGCAAATAATCTGTCACTGATAATAAAAAACAAACAACAATGCTATTTTACTGTCTAATGTTGGACAAGGCACAAAGGAATACTGAAAAACCAAACATATTACTATAACAGATTATTGTCAGTATAAATTAATCAGATTTTCAAAATCCCCTCGCCCCCTTTTTTCACATTTCAGTAATCTGATTGTAATTCTCCCTGCACATTATATTGATGGAAGAGAATCAATAATGTTGACAGTTTCAAGCTGAATAGACAGCTGACTTACACATGGCAGCCAGCCAGAATGGCATGTACAGATGTTGCATGCTACTGTTTACTATTTGGGAGATTTTGTGACAGACACATGTATTTTCTGCTAAACAGCCCATTTTAATGCCTGGCTTGCCCGCTGCTTCGTCCCTATTACTGTCTGGCTATCCTTCAAATAACGGGCACATATTATGGCGGCCAAACACACACTCTGACAGGGCCTCAGTCACATGTAAGCTGTGGACTTCCCACATCGCTTTGCTGGGCGTGGAGCTAAACTAGATGGCTGGGACTCACAAGCAGCAGCTACCGCATCTCCTATAGTTTCCTTCATTTTATTTGCTCGTGAGTCCCAGCCATCTAGTTTAGCCCCGCTCCACTCTGCGCGTAGCGGCTTAGGAGATACTCTTGACAGTAGTCGCTAGAAGTCCGCAATTTACATGTGAATGAGGCCCTGTCAGGGTGTGTTTTCAGCCACCATATGTGCCCATTATTCGGAGGATAGCCTACTGTTTTACTGTTATTCCCTGTACATAACTGCACCTGAGGTCTATAGCCAACCCCCCCCCCCCCCCCTTTCTAGTGACTGACAAAGCTAGCCCCCCCCCCCCCCCCCCCCCCCCCCCCCAGTAGCAGCACCAACTTTGGAGAAACACTGGTCTAGACACTATGCAGACTATGCTATTGTTTGTGGCTCCCACAGCTAAAAGAAAACTGACAACAAAGTTACTGTTCAATGTTTGAATGAAGATGTTAAAACAGTGTTTTTAAACTCATTCATGAATGATGGACGTAAAGACTTTAAAAACATAAAGGTACCCATATACATACAAACCCAGTGAACATTCACTTTCAGTGATTGTGGCACTAGTTTGCAGCAAGATGTAGAAACACTTGTTAAAATGAGCAGAAACTACAGCATAATGATTGGCATGAGCACATTTCACGTGGATGGACTGTCTAGTATTAATCCACACATGCTGATTGTTTCTGTATTGTAATTTATCCTATCACTTATCTAAACAAAAAATGTCAGAAGAAAGGTTACAAGGAAAACTAATCTAACTATACTAATAAGTAGTATTATTTATATATATATATATTTCAGATAGTATGAACTGAACAGAAACTACTTTCCAGTGTTCCAACTAGTGTATGAATTATGGACTGGAATTACCTGCTACAGTACCATACCATGCCATCTTCACACAAGAAGTAGAAGAAACTAAACTTTTTAATTTTACTTTTACTTTTCATTTTAACTCTTTATATAATTGAACCATACCAAATGGAAATCATCAACCCACTTTTGTCATTTTGTACCTTGAATATGCAAGTCTGAAATCTGTTGATGGTCTATCTGTGTTTTGCGAAGAATAAGAATTAAAAAGATAATTCTTCAGTCGTCAATGCAGTCGTCATCATACGTCATTGTTGTCAATCAAGATCGGAATTTACTTTTAAAGACAGAAGAAACGAGACAAAATAAATAAAAGTACACTTAGATTGCGATTGCAAGATTCATAAGGAAAATTAAAAAGCAGATAATATTAGAATTAGTATAGAGGACACAACAGATAACAGAAAATTGAAGACGAAACTTCTATAAATCATTAAATCTATAAAATAAATTATCGGCGAGCAGAATCAGAATGACTGAGATCCAGAGATCTGACTGAAATGAACCAGTACTCCGTTTTCCTGAGTTTCTCTGGTTTTAGTGACAACTAAAGCTGCCGAAATGATAAACATATCAGTGTAAACTTCTTAATGTTTAAATACTAACACACCTGTGTGGTTCTGGTGTATGAATTGACAAGTACACCCGAGAAATATGGTGTCAAAACTGCTCAACACGATGGCACAGCGAGCCGACGATACTCCAGGTGACTGCGGGCAAATTGCGCTAACCATAAAGCATGCACAGACCGGAACTGGAAGTGTGACGAAATCTCTAATTTTAGCTCCATCATCATCATCATGTTGCAGGTTCTTTGCAGAACGTCGGTCTCATCACAGTCTGCCTTAAAAAAAAACTCGGTCTCTCGCCAGTTCTCCCACCTCATGTACTTTCATACTCAGGGAGTCACTTATATCCTGTGCCCATCTTCGTGTCGGTCGGCCCCTGCGTCTCCTTTCTGGTACCATACCTTCTGCTATTATTTATTTTAGCTCCACTATAAGTATATTAGTATATATTTCTGCTCTCCTTCTTCTTCGTTCACCGTTAAAAAGACCATTGACAGATTGTTATACTATTACCCGAGGTTGCGACATGTTGATCCCATCACGCACCTAGTAAGTAACTGTGAGCTGCGGATTTCGTTTGGAATGTTCTTTTGACTGTGACCAACGTGTCAGAAAATGACGCGATGCCTGTTGTTGCAATGTTGGTGGTGCAAGTATGTGATTAAAATTGATCGCGCGGGCAACTGCTGATCTGTTGGTGACTTCTGCTACCATCAGGGATGAACTGAATTTCTAATATCGGACTGTTTGTGTTAGCACTTCGTATGGCTACCGTATGCTTTAATGTGTGTGTATGCAGGATATGGTGAGACAGCAGTCTATCAATCTTTCCACAAGAGACTGTATTTTTCGTTGGCACAGGAGCCGAGCAAAGATAGGGTGACCTATTTGCTATGAAGCTGAAACTAAGACTACCAGACTACCAGACCAGACACACCTAGTGTCGATTGGTATATAAAATACGAGTCTCTAGCATCATTTGTATGATGCGGCACTTGCGTAAAATATGTCATCTGTTTTACTCGTTGGTGGGGGAGGGGTATTGGATCTATCACCACCACATGACAAGGATCACAAACCTTTAAAACTGACTAGCGCGTCTTCACCCCCGCTCTCCTACAACAATTTACCAGAGGACTGGCTCGTGATAGGTAATAATAATAATAACGCTTGATATTATTATTCGTACTATTATCGCACAATTAAACAAGGCATAATCCCGTTATTATAATGTGACGGATTTAAACTCCTATACAGATAGATCCAGGGGGGGGGGGCGAACAGAAAATGAAGATGGGGAATTATCCTAAATCTAAAGAAAATGGAGCAACGAAACGCAGTCAGTTGCAACCGGAAACGTCTTAAGTAATTCTAATGCAGGTGCAAGAGGCCTGAGAATTGCAGAAGATAAGCATTTGTTAGAGAAAATAAAGATAAAGACATATCTATCTTCACATTTGCAAAGTTAGTTGCCACAGTACTGAAAAAAAGAAAAACAATACATAACTCCAAAAAGATAGGAAACGTCAGTGATTGTAACTTTGGAAATGTAAAAATAACGTCTCAACTCTTGTTGCAAGAGTGTCTAACACATACAGAAACGAGAAAAAATTTCTGGCTCACACCCGCTACTTTTGTGGATAAACTCTTTTGAGAAAACAACACCAAGTTGACCTGATTGCTCTAAACATATTCACATTGGCGTCTAAAGGTGTAAGAAGAAGGAAAGGTTAAGAAGATATCGTAGCGGGTAGTCACTAGAAATGCAGAGCTCATAAACCATGCAATTAATAAAATAAAAACTATAGTGGGTACGGGAGCCCGCCGCAGTAAAAATCGAACATGTGTAAGAAGCAAGTTACTCATTTTGTGTAGGTAATCGAAATCCCAGGTTTGGAGACTGCCTTCTGCTGGCTTTCTACGTCATAGCCCGTGATGAATGAGATGTTCAATATACGTAAGTGAGGTTAAACATGAGCAGGACTTGATGATTCCTTGGGTGAGCCCAGTATCAAAGCAATATGCATTTGCCCTGGATTTCTGGAAGCCGCCTTGGAGGTGCTCCTGTTCTGCCCCTGCCCTTTCCCGAGGGCTGAGGCTGACTGACTTTCTACCCAACCGGGACATCACACAAGCGATTAACACCCGATGACACAATGTGCCACCATGTGGGTGAGGACCACAGTGGAGAGGTCCCAGAAACCGCGTTCAGCCTTTAGGTCATATTTATGGCCAGGTTATATTGCGGCCCCTGGCAAAAGCCAGAGTAGGGCTTCAAAAAACAAAACATTTTCTCCTGAAAAGGACGAGTTCGGCCTTTTGGCTAAGATCAAAGTGTAGGGCTGAGGCTGAACGGAGTCGATTTTTATTCTCAAGGGCTAACCAGTCAGAGGCGGGCAGGGGAGGGGCAGTCTCGGCAGGCCTAATAGGGGGCACCACCTGTGACATAGGAAACAAAGATGACGACACAGCAGTGTAACCGCAATGTTCCTCGAAACCACCGCCAACTCTAGATTAACTCTAGTTTAATCTGTGTATAGATCTCCTCAATAAAAACTGTCAACACAGAGGGACTCAATTCTTGCACAAGAACGGGAATCCCCGTTGACCCAGTTGGCCTATTTATAGCTAAAGATGGCCGTGCTCGAAACTAACTGGGAAGGCTAACCGGTCTGCAGAAGTTGAATGTGTCGGCCGAAAGACGCAAATATCGCATTTATGTTGTAAACGGACACAACGCATTGACAACTTCAGACAAACACAGGTGGAGGAGGAGGAGGAGAAGAAGAAGAAGAAGAGAAGAAAAAGAAGAAGAAAAAGAAGAAGAAAAAGAAGAAGAAAAAGAAGAAATTAAAGTTTCAAAATTATTCGAAATGTCTAAACAAATGTCTAGTCCAAGTCCAAGTCCTTTTGAAAAAAAAAAAAAAGAAAAGCTCGACCACGTTCTGGCTGCTGCTAGCTAGCCGAGGCTGCTAACAGTCTACGCCTAT